GCAAAAGTTTATAGTCCTGCACCCAGAACCATAATCCAGGATTCCAGCGGGATAATGCTCGACGATCGAAACGCTAAATGACCAGCAGGATGAATAAGATTGCTATTAGAGCGCCGAGTAAGTACACTGAATTAAGGTGTCCAAGCCTTGTTCTTGTCGGGCCGACCGAAGTCTGAATATGTTGGTGTTAATCGCAACAATCAGGTCCTAAAACAGACATTTTTGACTCCCATGCCATTTGAAGCCATCAAGAAAAGCCAGGTAAAACTCTGTATGCCTGTTTTCTTGATATGGCCCTAGTGTTGTTTCCATTTTCATACTGAGCGACAGGAAATACAACAACACCAACCAATTGGTTGAAAGTCAGACAAAAGATGCCCTTAGAAGCTGCCTCGAGACTCTGAGTCGAAAGCTTGCCGTCGAGGCCAAAAATCTAAGGTCCAATTTCCCCCACACGATACTAATTTCATTCGCCACATGAAGATTTTACTTTGTGACCGAACCGGAGCTCGTATTCGACAACAGCCATGATACGTTGCAGGGTAAGGCTCCTGGATTATTCACAAGAAGAGTGCATCCTTGTCTCCTTGAGACCAGAGGGAGAAAGTTGCCAGAGATTTCTATTTAGGAGGAGCAAGCAGTCTGCTTGAACTTAAAAGGACAGCTATCATTACCGAGCATTGAGAACCCACCTGTTAACCTGGCATGAGTGACAGCAGATATCATTTGATACACCGGCTGTGAATTGCTGTCAAATCCTAGCCTCACTCTTGCTAGCATTGGCCTACAGGGGCAATGTCTTGGCTATACAAGTGGCTTACGTGTAGTGTCGGGCTGTCTTCTCTAGCTCTGACTAGAAGCACATCCCCTGTACTGATCTCGAATTGTGCGAGGGGGAAAATCAATAGATCCCGAGCGACGAGCTCGTAACCCATTCCCTCAATGCCATCCTCACTCTCTAGACGGATGGGGTCGTTCCCCGAAAGTGGGCGGTGGCTACTGCATAAGAGCGGCGGCGGATAAGTGGAAGAAGAACGGCCTTTATTTTCCAATAATTCAGTGGGGTTTCGTGAATTACGTATTAATATATCATGCAACAACATACACCATGGATCTTATGATGATGTTCTCCCTGGGTGGGTGCTATACATCGACATCTGGAATAGGCACGATTCCTTGCGCCGGGATGCCTGTATGAACCAAGTGCCTGTTGTCATTCGGTATTTTCTGTGACCTATAGGTCCTATATAAGGCTTTAGTTGCTGCTCTGCGACTAACGGCGTCGTTTTTAGTATGACAGTATTATTGTTTGGTTGAGTGATCGTCGTGCCGGCTCATCCCTGCGATGGTCAGCAGCGATTAATTAAACTCGAACGACGAGAAACACAGTGTGCTCGGGACCAATTTCAAGAAGTTTATTACTCCGACTTATTGGAACTTTACCTGGACTATTTTCAGATGCACTTGGCCTGGAGTTGCGGCATATAAGAAAGGTCGCAATTATCTCCATCTATTCACCCGATTAGTCGACTATTTGGCCACCAATGCGCCGGCCTCGCCCTGAGCTTGACAGCTCGCCCGTTGCAGAATAGACGGGGAAATTTTGTTTGATTCCGAGTCATTGTTTCGAAGTGTCGCTCACCTACTCTCAAAGTAGCTCGTTCAGTGAAACATGGCCACCACACGACGGGTGTTTGGTGATGGCATTCGAGTATCTGTCATCCTCGGCCGGTGGGCCCGCTTTTCTGATACGTGCAAGATCAAATCGTGAAAACCAGTGTTGCAACATTGCTAATAATGTACTCCTAGAATGCCGCCCATCTTTCCTAGGTAATACCCCATGCCGGGATCGAACCTACCGCCGGCTCATACATTTGCACGATCGTTATTTCATTCCTACCGGTAGATAATCTGCAACAGCTCACTGAATGGGAGTTCGACCTTATTCCTATAACGTAGGCGGATGCTCATTCTGCAGGTGATAAACAGCCAGGGTTGCCTAGATCGGATACCATATCATCTCAGGTGTCATCCCCCACACGACGAACGAGTGCTCGTCTACATCATTCATCCTCATGTTTTCTTTTTCTTTCTCTTCTCTTATTTATTTCACCTTGATGCTACCCGTCCGTCGCACTTTGCCTTGTTATCTTGACATCGTTTCTACCCTTTAGCCCGTCATCACGACAGTGGCTGATCTCTTCACTCTTGTTCTTCTTCACATCAGATTTATCACTTAGGGTTTACAATATGTCACATTTGACTGGTCAAATGGCGCAGCCAGATGACTATGGTCCAAGCGTTCTCGCAGTGATATGGTCCCAGATTGGACTTGCGTCCTTCTTCCTAAGCTTGAGGATTTATTGCAAGTTCAGAAAGCACAGAGGGCTTTGGTGGGACGATTACGTACTAATAGCATCATGGGTATGTTCATAAATCTACCTGCCATACCGGCTCAAGCTCCTTGACTAACACTCTTTGAGACCTGTCTGTTGATCTCAGTATCACTAACCTCATACATTATTTCTCTCGGCTTCGGCAAGCATATTTACGTGGTGCCCCCCGTCAACATTCCCAAGATCGGTCTCACCAGCAACATTATCATTACGACATCAATTACTTCGGCAGTATGGAGCAAGACTTCCTTTGCGATGTCGCTTTTGCGAATCAAAGAAGAGGGCTCGATGAAGTATGTCATCTGGGCAGTCATCATCTCCATGAACGTCTTTATGGGTCTCAACGCCTTGGCTTCTTGGGTTCAATGTACTCCGATTCAGAAGGTTTGGATGCCGCAGATGCCAGGATCATGCTGGGATCCTAGAGTTGCCGCGTACTACGATATCTTTGCGTCAGGTTTGCAATTCTCTCCACGACTGTGAAAGGTTTTTTTGGCCGACATTCTTCTATAGGCTACTCTGCATTGATGGATATCCTGCTCGCGATGCTGCCTTGGCCGATGATCTGGGGACTTCAGATGAAAATCCAAGAGAAGATTGGCGTAGGAATTGCCATGAGCATGGGTCTTCTGTAAGTACGGTTCGATTCAAGTATTGACATGGGAATTGTCACTGATATGCCACTATAGTGCTGGATCAACTGCAATTATTAAGTGCACATATTTACCGAGTCTTCTCTCTGGAGATATTACCTGTACGCAGTCGACGGCCATTTGATCTTGTGTTGAGCATGCTAACATATTCGTTAAGACGATGGAAGTCGGCTCGCAATTTGGGGAGCATGTGAGACGGGCGTCACCATCATGGCCGCTTCCATTCCTGTCCTTCGTGTCCTCATTCGGGACGTTGCGGCTTCTACTCGCAAGTACTATGGTTCTTCGGGCTCTGGTATCGACAAATCTCGAATCGGCCATGAAGCCAGCCTGAAGCGAACCAACACAGCGACAGTGACGACATCACCACAGAAGGGCTCATTCAGAAGAAAGTGGGACAGGTTGACTGACGATCAGAGCGAAAAGAGCGTACAGAGAACCGAGCCGGACATAGACTTCGGCAAGATCATCCGGACAAATGAAATCGTAGTGCAATATGACACGAGAAGTGAGATTGAAAGGAGGCATGAGGATTATGAGTTGCATCAGATGGGTTCTAAGAACCCAGGCAACATGGTCTAGCAACCTTATGCGGATCATATTGAATATTACCATTTTCCAAGTACTGAATGCCCACTATTGCGGACCTTTCTTGTCGTGTTTCGGTACGGCCATGGTTTATCGTCACAAATCGAGTTGGTTCGAGCTCTTGCGAGTCTCTACGCGGTTTGGCCTTCTGCAAGCTTTCGACGATCCGGCAGGGTTAGGAGACTATTCTTCAATACCGCTTCTTGAGGCATGCATATTCCAATCCATCAAGGGACGCTTGAGTAAGGTACCTTACGATTGGCCCACAAGTACAGCCGTATTGCGGGCAGTACTAAGTCTATACAGCTATCATCAAATATGACTAGGTGCGTTCCTACAAGGAGTGTAGAGATGTGGCTTTGTGGTTTAGACAGAAAGGGTTCCGAGTCTAGTAATTAGAACCCAGAACCGCAGATGCGACGCACTGACACCAGAAAGGATATCCCCGATCCTTTGGAATCACATTTCAGGATGGTAATGCTTTGAGAGAACCTTCACACACGTATCTGCGAAAGTCTTGAACAGTAACAACCTGCTATCCGGTGCGATCAGTCATCTTGGCAGGTCTTTGCCCTGATTCGGTACTCCCGGCAATTGGTATGGGGGCGGGGTTTATCCTTGAGTGCAAGCGTTTGACAGCAATCAATTCATTGTCCTCCGACGTGTCCCTCCAAGCCGCAACCGACTCTAAAACGCGAAAGGCTGTGCGAATACCTTGCAATCCACCCATGATAGCTACCGTATTAGTAAACGGACCATTTAAGAAGAGTTGGGCAGCACACCCTATGACAATTGTTTCTTGTGGTCTCACGCAATTGATGTTTGTTCCCTACGTTTGTTTTTCAGCAAGCAGTTGAATGCTGCCAAGGTAATAACGAAAATACCACCGTCAGAGATATGAAACGCATTGCGGGCGTAGTGAGTTGCTTCCCATACGTTTATCGGCCTTGCGGCATCCATCAATGCTTTCTGAAACCCGTATTTGGAGATCGACACCCAGGGCTATAGATTGTATGTCTGGACATGCATAAAGTTTGATCACGAGGAACCGCTTTTTCAATATCGAGCTTATAAGGCGGCAGTGCTGTTGATTTGTAACTGGTCTCGTTGGGCCATCGCGGCCGAACAGCTTCGGCACAGGATAGCTGCGTGTTGACTCGGCTCGGCTCGGCAAATACACGGCTAATGAATACCAACACAACCTTGACATTTGGAATTTGGGCTTTCAGTGTGTCCAAAAGCTTGAACGAAGCTCTAAGATCAATACACCAATGCTTGGGGGCTCCCTCTGGACGGTTATGCTGGGCTCCGACAGCGGAGTAAGTTTCAGACTGACAGTTCAGGGCAAGTTAAAGACCTAACCCTAACCCCAAGGCGCTTGGTCAAAGCGGTCGAGGCAGGTCAACTGGTCGGTGGCGCCGTCGAAGTAGGCGTCCGTGAACTGGCGGAAGCACGGGGCAGCAAGGAACTGGGACAGGGGCCTGTCCAGGACAGTGTTCCTGGCAACGTAGAGGATGACGGCAACGGCAGGTGAGCCGTTGCGCCTGGCCCAACTAGCCATCTGATTCCAGTTGATGAGGTCGTAAGGCGCACTGTAGTGGACGACAAGGGACACCTGACCGTAGTTGAGGCTAGTGCTAAACGCTGACGTGGTAAACATGACGTGGTCTGTCTTGAGCTACGACCTGACAGCCTTGTCTTTGTCTACTTGGGACGTCTTTGAGTGGTAGACCTGTGTGGCCTCTTCTGAGGCAAGGCGCTTGGCTATGTTGATGCCGCGGCAGTAGACGACAGCTAGGCGAGAGGCTTCTTGCGACGCCTTGTCTGCTGCTGCCTTTGCCCTGTTAGCTTTATAAAAGCAGGCAATAAGGTTAGCAAGTGCTACCTTAACAGCAGACACGGTCTAGAGAGGCTTGTTCTGCAAGGTGATCTCTAGGCAGCCAGTGGAGGCGTAGGTGATCTTGGCGTTGGCAGCAAGGTTGTAGACGTTGCAGAAGTTAGTCTTAAGGGAGAGAGAAAGTGTTACTATAATAAATAACCTCTGCTAGCAGACTATTGCTGTCCTAGGACCTATCTTAAGGAGGAGGAGACAGAAGGTGGCGTTAGCGCTAAATATAAGGTAGGCCTTGTTGACAACAACACGGTCGATGGCGTAGCTGTTGTTAAGCGAGTAGACAAGGGACCTCTACTTCTGGTGGCTGAGCTGCTCTAGGTTGATGACGATAACAGTTGTCGTATTGTGGATGGCGTCGGGGGAGTCCGGTTCCTAAACGCGGTATTACCAATTGCTCCGACTGTAGTAAAACGTCTGAAGTAAAGACTATTATCCACCTCAAACCATGGTTTCCCTCCAGATTGAACATGTGTATATCATCCAATGACATATAAGTATAATCTAGTCACTAAGGATAACGTATGCTGTATCACGTTAATGAACATGATTCTGTCATGTTGTGTGGTCTACTCAATATGAAGGAATCTTCGAGGGAGGGGTCGCTTACACTCTAGACAGAAATCGTAGTAGCGATGACCGTATCAGTACGGATGTCTACAGTGACAGGTAATTGCGAGTCTGTGCGTGATGATATAATTCGTCGGTTGGCTTTGCCAGTATGACAAGCTGATATCAGACTTCAACGTATCTTATTGGATCATGAAAGCGAATGCAACAATTATCTGTTGAAGCAAAGAGGGGGGATGTCGGGAAGATCAATATGCAGAAATGGGGAAAGCATACGAGGATGATGGTTAATCGCCACGTGCGAGATGCCTTTCGGCAGGGTGAACCAGCAGTATCTCAATTGGTGATATCTACTGCTGGCTGAAGAAGTGATAAGGGAAGGAAGAAGGTAAGGTATCCGGCAGCCCATTTCTTCCGCCCTGGTTGTTGCCCATCTTCCAACAAAGGGATTCAGAAACTACTAAAATATATCGGCTTTTATGATTCATCTCAACAATTTTTCTGGTAGCATAGAACCCCTAATAGTTCTCCCGCTCGTTTCTTTCCGTCATAAGGAAAGTTGCGAAGAGTTGAGTGTATAATAGATTCATAGCTTGCTTTTACTCTTTACCTTGTGCTACAATATAAGTCGGGTATGATTCTTATCATGTAGTTCAGACGCATTCTTGGTTCAGAATCCACCAAAAACCAAGGTTGCCATCGCATTTTGAAAGCGCAGGTCCTAATTCATCAGAACGAAGAGTTTTCGGATGATACTGATAACGCAGGAAAGACACTTGCCCGGCGTTTCTTGGACCTAGCGAGTATGAATCCTCCCAGTATCGTAGCAAAGAAAAGCGCAGACTTCAACAAACCACTGTCCAGTGGGCTCTGGTCCCCTTCGGTGAATGTGAACTACATCGTCCTTTGGTAATTGCAAAGTTCTTGGATACTAAAATCGACGTAGTCAAGGTTCAGAGTGAGGACGAGGACCGAATATATCTCTACATGATGATCGCGCGCCGCGCTCCGCGCTCAGTGCCATTGCCAACCTGACAACGCCGACAGAGCTTTTCGCTATTTCGCGGCAGAACTCAAGCTATCGTCTGCAGTTATGTTAAGCTATTTGACTTTATATACGGCTCAAAGCTTTGTTCTCATGGCCTTCTACCTAGTTTAGGCATGCCGTCGCAACTCACAGTTCACGTACCTTGGTGTGGCAACCGGAAGCGGCCTCGGTCATGGGACAATATATGGTAGAGCACTTCCAGTCGTTATCAGAAGAAGATTGTTGCCTAAGATATTTACCAATCGTATTACCCAAATTGATCAACAGTGAACCACCAACATTCGTGGGCAAGGGTTAAGAAAAAACACCACCGAAATATGAGCAGCGAATTATTGGCTTCTATATTCATCTGTGGACGCTTCTGTGTTCATATCAGACGTTTGTTCCGAATCGTTAGACTCTTTTGTCATCATGGACAACATTTGAGTCCTCGTCATTCTAACCAGCTACTTACCTGCTAAAAGCCTACTCAGGGAGTGGCGATTCGCTACTGATCGGAGTTTGGGCTTCTTCCTACTTGCTCCTAGCGTGTTTCTGGGGCGTGAAAGATCGTTCCGCAGCCCATTACCAGCTCCCGACTTTCCGATTCACTTGAGCCCGCAAGCAGCACAATATCGCCGCCTGCTGCTGAGCCACAAGCTATGATACATTCAAGAGCTACTCGCCAGTGGAAAGCTGCCAACCCCACCCGCCCTACATCGAAATACTCCTTTCACTCAATTTGGTCGAGAACTCCGAAACAACTGAGCGGAACGCAACAGTGAACCGCGAGAGCTACGATGGTAGCGCCGATAAGTCTTGTTTTCTAGAGAGAACAGGGTGAGACGTGTTCGAATCGCAACTGAACTTCGATAGTACAGGGCTTAGCAAAGAAGATGACATATCGAGCCTCCTCTTAAATGGCGAAACAGTTCCATTCCCGAGGGGCTTCCGTTTCGAAGATTCACCATGAGAGTTCTAGTTGTCTCAACAATCGAGAGGCCTTTTGTTGAACCGTCTCCTTTTCGTGGGAATCCCTCCCTTTTTGTTAGACACTACCAGCAATCATACCGCTCCAGAAAGAAGGGTGTTGCCTGCTCTCACATGAGCCCCTTACACGATGAAACGCGCGCGTGGGGCTGGAACACCAGTGTCTCGATCTGACATTGAGTTACATACATGTCATCTGAACGCGGCCCCAGGTGGAGACTCACTTTTCTGTTGGCGGCTCGGTTTCTGCGGCACCGCTGCGTTAGAAATGAAATGAAGCACTGAAGATGAGACGACAAGCACGCGGTTTGACTTCCCGCCGGGTTGGCCGTTTATCCGCTAGCAGCTGCAACCGCCGAGAGGCCCACTATCAGATAGTTCAAGATTCGGGTGAATTCCGTAGCGATGTAGCCGAAGACATAGGCCGTGTGAAGTTGCCGATCTATCGACACAAGTTTGAGATTCATATAAAGGCTTGTCGCAACCAGCACAAACGGTTGATTGGCATAGGCAAGCTTTCTCAACCAAAATACATCCTGACATAACATGGGGAAACACGCATTATCTTATCTATTGATGGCCGTACTGTGAGTGTTCTTCAGTCGGAGTTCCACAGCACAGGGAGACCTCGAACTAACACACCATAGGTTGGCGCTGGCGCAAGCTCAGCAAGGCTACATCCAGTGTCGGTGCATGACGCATATTACAAATTCGGTCGTACAGACCGGTGGCCGGAAACTCTGCGGTCAAAAAGGTGGTGTTCTCAGCAGCAACAGCCAACTCTGCACAAATCTATCGCAGAACTTTACTGATAGGGACTGTCGGGCGATTGGGGACTCGTTCTTCGCGACGTGTGCCACGGCGCGTTCTGCAGTCAAGAGAGGAATCTATAAACGCGAGAGTACGCCAATTCAGCGAAGGCCGAAGCGTTTGCAAATTGGCCGGGGGCCTATCAATTTTCAGACCGTCTCCCGGCGCACGATTCCACACCGGCTTTCGCAGAACTAAGTTTTGCTGAGGCTATCTAGCTTTGAACAAGCATTGGTTTCCTTTGTGCAAGTAATTGATAGGCCGATAATCTTCTCGATTTCAATCTTCTATGGTCTTGTCCAGTTTCTCTTTCAGCCTCTTCAGGAGCACCTGTGCATTCCATTTAGGGTCCTCCAGAACCCGAACTTCCGCGCCATGCATCTCTATGAGTTCGTTCATGTCCATGTTGCTGATCTCCAAATTCTGATGACTGATCTCGACCCCATGCAAGCGTGCAACTAACTACCAACCCCATCAGGACCTCCATGATGCCGGCTATGTTTGACCAATCGTCTTCTGGAAGCTGGGTGTTGTTTTCTTTACAAAGCTTACCGAACCGCTTGCTCGCCTCTGGGGAAGCGCACAGAGTATACAAGTCTCGGTCAGCTGGAATGGCACCGCCGTTTTCGACACTCTTGCGGTCAGCGAGAATGCAGAAAGATATAGACCCGAGCTCTCTCTCAGCATCGCTATTTTAAAGACACGTAGCATGTTTTTTTTCGACGGAGCCTTCCTGGTCTAAACTCCATTGCACAGGCCGGGGCTTGATATACTGAGTCCCAAGCTTTCCATTAGAGTCTGAGACGGCATTTAATAAGGTCTTCTCCTTATTCTCGGATAGCTTTGTAAGCATATAGAGTGGAATGACCTGATTTCCATGTGTGATGCTGGTCCAGACATGATCGTACCAAGACCTTCTTGTTGTTGATAGACTTCAACACTATGCGATCGTGCCAAAAATGAGAGAGTATGTCCAGTGTTAATAAGGATCAAAAGGTTGTATGAGAGGCCAAATTCGTTGTTTGATTATGATGTTTCTCAAGACCACAATGAGAACCCCTTGATTCACTGCTGAAGAAACCAAGCTCAGTTTTAGTAGTGTGAGACTGTATCCTACATATGCAACGGTCAGTTAAGCTGTGCTTGGTTTATGCGTTGCCTCGAATCCATCAATTCTTCGGGCCGGAGATGGTCCATCTCATAAGCGCCTTCGACTACTGTCCCTTACAATCTGACTATTTGGACAGACGTCATACGGATGGCAAGCCTTTTTATTTTCTTCTTCAACATCGGTTAGACGGATTTAGGTTTCTCCTCATCGTTGATTTTCATGAGCCGTTGTTTCCGCCAGTTATAGAGGAGACATTCCCGCGTCATGTCACGCTGCAGTCCATATCGTGCAGTGCTGTTCGATTTTACGCCTGACGATTCCTGTAGAGGAAAAAGGGAACGTATATTGTGCAGTCACTACAGACACCCTCCATAGCCTCTCACTCTGCAGCAGACCAATGGCTCCATCGTTGGCTATGATAGCGGCCATTTCCGCTTTACCATGCTGTGAAATTGCGTCTGGAAGTTCTTACCTAATTGCAACTGATTGCCTCGTGTTACAGCTGCCCATAAGTTTTCGTCCGAGCATTTCAACAGATCACGACTTGACGATCTTCTAGATGAGATGACCTAACCCAGTTTAGAGATATATTGCTACATGTGCCTGAAACTCCACAACCCTTGGTCGTTAGACAAGTCAGACTATTGGTTCTGTTCTAGATGTGACTGGTTACGAGCGCATACTCACTGTGCTAAAGCAAAAAGGACTTCGATCTTAAAATTAGTTGACTATGACCGCACAAGATGCTTGGACCATGATACAATTTAGCAACATATCCTTCCTACAAATAAAATAGGGTTGTCAATGCACAAACCCCTCGGTCCTGCGATTGCCTCTTGCATAGAAGTAGCTAGATGCCTGCCTTCCAGATCATCAAATATGGCGCTTCTCGTTCTTCCAGCCACTGCTCTCTTTCAACCACGTCTCAAAGTTCTGCATGCGGGGCTCTTCTTTCTTCAGTGCCTGGATGTCTGCTCCGTATCCCTCACTCTTGAAGAATTCAAACATCTTGCCCATGTCCGAAATGGCCCATAACATGCCCTGGCCAATGAAGGTGTAAGTCTGCGGCATGTCGCTTCCGATCACATTCTCGAAGATCTCCCTTGCCTTGGCGTAGGTGATGTCATCGCCAGCCAGGGAGACGGCCCTTCGGTCCCATTCCTCCGGGTTCCCGATAGCTTTGGCCGCAAACAGCCCGATATCACGCACCGATACGAGTTGCAGGCTCTGGTCGGCCGGCAGAGTGGACCACATGGCTGCGAACACCTTGCCAAACATGCCCGGGTTGGCGTTGTCCAAGAACGCCGTCGGGCGGAGGATCGTCCAGCGCAATTTTCGGCCGCTCTTCTCGAGCTCGTCGGCGCGGTCGCGGAGGTGCACTTCGATGGCGTGCTTCTGCAGGAAATGCGGCACATCGGTAGGGTTCTCCCAGGACTTGTCCTCGCCGCCGCGGTCGACGGAGGTGAGAACGATCTGGGCGGTGTTCGCGTCGATGGCGGCGTCAACCCAGGCTTTCCCGACGACGTCCTCGTTGCCGATCGTGGTAACGATGAAGACTGTGTCAATGTGCGGATGGGCTTGGAAGACCTGGGCTTGGGAGTCCTTGAGGTCGCCTTGGACGGGGGTCACTGTGACGCCCTTGGCCTTCGCGGAGTCGATGAGGGACTGGACCTTTGCCGACTCGGGATTCCTCGTGAGGGCGAGGATCTCGAGAGGGGGAGAGCTGGCGGGGAGTTCGAGGAGAGCGTCGACGACAGCAGCGCCCTGTTTGCCGGTTGCGCCTAGGACAAGAACTTTCCTTGTTGATGCCATGATGAGAATCGGTCGCTCAATTAATTTTTGTTCAGAGCAGTCTAATCACTTTAATATTGAGATATTACTCCGGTCCGCTGAGATGGTGATGTCTGTGGGAGCTTTCGCGAGGATGGGGCTACCGAGTGATGTTGATGTGAGCGCTGGAAACAAGCTCCTCGAACAGTCCAATTGCGAGTGAGCTAAGATACGAACTATAGGGATGAGCTTTTGGCATGCGGTGTCTGAGATTTTGGTCTTGCCATGACCCTGCCTGCAGCCGCCCGAGCACTTCCCCAACCGCATGTCCGAGCTAGCTGTCTATGACGAAGCGCCGATCCGGGGCTTTCGTCCTGTGTATTCAAGGTACGGTGCGTAACTAGCATGGAAAAGAAAAAAATGGTTTTGTGAGACGTTTGATGTTCGGACTGGACTTTGAGGATTCATCCAGCAATCATTGTTATAAAGCAGAACCCGTCAGAGCTGCGCATCACATGCTCGTCCTAATTATTCACGGCGGCAGAGGATTCGGCGTCAATAGGCAATCAGAGATGCAGCCACTTTATCGGCAGTCATCTCGGCGGAGCCTGCTCTTCCAAGCAATCAATTCAGTTGACGCACAAGCAATATTTCCATAGCCTCAAGGTGTACGCCAGGAAGGTCTACATTGGATCTGATGGTTAGTCAATCTTATATGAAAGGAGAACATCGCTAACTTGGTTCCAATAAAGACTGAGTCCAGAATGAAAGTTGAGGTTCGCCTGTGCCTCGACACGCTGTCCCACTTCCATGGGCATAAACCAGGTTCTTTCGAGGGGCAACCGTTGAACGTATCGCTGCTCATCACATACCTCATCAAAATTGTATCGTCAATGAATTAATCAGTCTAGACAGCAACTTCACAAAAGAGCTAACCCATAACATTTGTAGTCGTAGGCGTTTACATCACCCCATCCTTGGATTGGACCTCATGACTCTCGGAACTGCCTGCACATGCCCCGGCCTAGCGCGTGCTAGGGCCACCGGGGATCCCCAACACTAGCAACGAGTAAGTGGCCATCGGAATGGAAACGAATCGTATTGCAACAGTGACGGGAGGGAGTTTGAATTCGAAGTCGAAGAGGGGCGACGTTCCAGCAGCATCAAACCATTATACAGCGGCAACATAGACATGACTCTAAAAAGATAAGACGTTAAAGACCTATCTATAACGCTACGAGAGCACTGGAAAAGGCTCAAAAAGCTAGCGTTCCTAGCTTAGCGTCACCGTTCTTTGGCTCGGAAGTGCATTCGAGCAATTGTACCTGCAATCGCGTGATATCTATCGTGATGGCGAATCAACCGGCACATATCGCAGAATACAACTCATGACCTCAGCCTTCACATCGTGAGGACTTACCCAACAACTTTAAGTTATGCTCGGCCGCATTCTCCTTACGCTTGAAGGTGTCATGCTGCTCTTCGGCGTATTAGCGGATTGGAACGAGACACCCATCCACAGTCCGCGCTGGCCTCCGCACGCCAGGTGAGTCTTTCTTCTATCCCTCACCTCATGAACTCAAAGTCGTGATGTCAGCCTACATGCGCCCCGTCGCACCCCTCAGTATCTAGCCACTCTGCTAAACTGACCACACCCAACGCCTTCCCATATTTCACAATGCGCAGATTATGACACTCCCCACCATACTGAGCATTACGATGCTCTTTTCCACCTGGCGCAGCAACGCGTCGACCCAAACGGCCAAGGACTCGCTCCGCACCGCGGGCTTCCTGGGGCCCATCTACTGGGAGGCCGACTGGGCGTCGCTGCTGTGTCCAGGGACCTCCGGGCTGGATCTCGAGTTCGGCGGGCCGGGTTCTCCGTAGAAATACTTCTTCGCGGTGGTCATTGGGCTCGCCGCGACGGGGTCGTATCTCGAAAGGTGCTTCCGAATGCGTCGGCGGCGACACAGGCACAGGAGTTCCATGTTGCGGTCCTGTTGGCACTCAACCAGAAGGGGGCACAGAGCGTGAAGGGACCCGAGCCCTTTCGAGAATAGGAACAGGGGGCTGCTTCGTAAGATTGCAGGCAACGTAAACATTGGGCTGAGTTGTCCTAGCACCATTCCTCTAGTCAAAAGGGGTTACGAATGCATGTCAAGCTTAGCCTCTTCGGGCTGCTCTTCGCAAACGCGCGGCGTCGACGATTCTGCTATCGTACTCTGCCATCCTTTTAATCTGAATGCCGGGAAGCGGGCGCACGGCTAACACGGCAAGCCGAGGATGACGAGACCTCGGACGAGGCTGGGGTAAGAGGTCTATGATCAGATTGAAGTTGAGAAATTGACAAGATTACGCCCGCTTTTGTTCTCAACGCTCTTTCAGTCTTACTCGACCGACCTGTTGTGAAAGTCTCAGGACGATGCGGGCTTTGGCAACGAAAATCGACCCGTCTTGGTGTTTTCGCCGAATGCGTCTTACGTTAGCGGAATGGTCTTGGACAGCATCCAGAATGACGTAGGCTAAGGGCTTGTTGGGGAAAGGGTGGTGAGGACGGCAGCCGGCACAAAGCTCAAACCACAGCACGGTGACCTGATAGATGGAGGGGTCACTAACTTGAATTGGTTTGGGTCGGCAAGACAGCACACGCAATCAGATTTGCACTACGAAGACCTCTCGGCAACGGATATCCGGTTAGCTCGGGGCAGGCTTGGAGGAGGGCGCACTACTGAATCCAAACATTGCACGTTACAGCCAAGTCCATCAACAATATTTCTTCCTGTAAGAACACGGCAAGACGGTCTTGGGGACAATGCGGGAGCTGGCGTGATATGTTGCCGGATGAGCTGGACATACCATTGACTGATGGCGGAAGACGATGGCAAAGCAGGACAGGGCAATCAGGATGTGGAGAACGATAAAGTGCCATGATCCGTGCGTGTCTTCCCACAGCAATAGAGGATTTTCTTAGCCCTTTTAAGATTCTCGGTCTCGGCGTTTCTGAGCTCTCAGGTATCCAGTCAGACCCCTCCTCGAAACATGCAGATGTAACGACGAGACGTTGACAGAGGTAAGACCAGAAAGAAAAAGAAAAAAGACTGGACAAGACCAGGGGAGAGGATTGGCGCTTCACAGGGCCCGGCGGAACGCCGAGAAAGAAAAGCAATGGACAAGAGAAGATGCGACGCGAGCGCGGCTGCGAATACAACAGGTTCAAACATGCCAACGTGAAAGCCCCTCATGTCATTCGTCCGACTTCCTCGCAGGACTCGGCGGACGGATGTATGTTTCTCAGGTAGGTACTCTTCTGCAAGCCCCTAGAAGCCACATCGTGACACCAATGGTCTCGCAGAAACCTCCCGCCACGCTTCCCCCGCCGTCGCAGGGGTCCGAACCGGAGAAATGCCAGGAGTGGAAGCTCAGCCCCCCCCCGTTCAGATGACAGTCCCCACCAGAGCTTACGACGACTGCACATCGAAGCAAGGATGGCACAAGACCCAGCAACGAGTCCAGTCGGTCTAGTCCAGCCAACCAATGCAACATTGCAAGCGCAGGCGCTCCTTCCTAGTCTGTTCGAGCGTTCTAAGGGAGAGGGCGTAAGAGCGAGAGGGAGATGGAGAGGCGGGAAGTCTCGACAAGCACACAAGAGCAAGGTATGAGAAATGCCACTGCCTGTCGTCTGAAGGAGAGGTGAATACTGGGATGAACCGGGTATCATGGATGATGGGGGTATCTGGAGTCGGCGGATGTCTCTTTACGTACGTAGCGGATCATCCATTGCCATGCTCCATGTCAGAAGTGGTGGCATCATATCACCGCATACGGGCATTGGGATACGCCCAGATCGCCCAAGGCTGGGCCACATCTCGAATACCCTGGAGCCCTGAAAGGAGAGGAGAGGATCCCCTTGTTTCCCCCCTAAGTCATCGTTCATCGGCAGTCATCTTGCACAGGTGAGGGTCTGTGAGGTGTTTTTGAAGGAAGCGTACTGCCCTTCCCATTGTCTGATCCATAGCTCCTTTTCCCCCTCCCGTCTTAACCTTTTGACCCCTTTTTATGCATGGTCGTCCCGTTAACTTTCCATTTCCTTCGTACGCCTTTGTTCACTCGGTTTGTTGATAAAAGGACGCCTTTGGGAAAGTCAACAACGGCTGTCTGCCCAGCTCGCCACTACTAACAAATAGTCTTCTCCGCGACATACCCCCATTCCGGCCGTCCGGCGAACAAAGAGTCTTGGCGTTGACGGGACAATTCATTGCCCTTATTTTTCCCCCCCACCTGCTCCCCTCGACTGCCGGCTTGGCAACAGTCCAACGACACCAAAAAAAGACCCGTTGGTGGCATAGGGCATACGACCAACTACCCTTTTTGGATCAATCGTCTTCTACACTGAGACCATCGCGGACTTATACCAAAATAACAACCAACAACGAATTGAAATTTCACATCGCTGCTCTCATTACAAATTGAGCAACTGGGGGAAACGGGTGACAAGGAAGCGAAAATCGGGAACACAAGACAGCCGAACGTTATTTCGCTGGTCGGGCTTCAATCGACTGAATCGCACAAGAAACGTGGCAAGCCAACTTATACCAAGGATCATCGTCTCCTTTGAGGGAGACGACGGCGACCGCGACCGCGACACCATCTACCGCTGTTCCTCGAGACGCACATCACACAGAATGTCCAATGAACTCCCTCGCCACGAGAGGCGACCCTCGTCACCGACACATTGTAACAGCATCTTCAAAAGCCCTCTCGACCCCTGCGACATGAGTATCAAGACGTTGCTGGGCTTCATCTCGACCCGCGTCCTCCGCGGAGGCCCGCGCTTGATCATCCAGCTCATCCTCGCCGCCTTTGGGCTGCTACTTCTCGACAAGTTTCTTGCCTCCCCGACATCGACAGACACCCTCTTCAGCTCTGGGTCACGATGGAGTTGGTCGCCGTTCGACGAGAGCAAGGGGCAACAGGGCGTCGGCGTGAGAGTCGTGGTGTTCGGATCACCGGACATTGCGACACCCTCCACGGGCAAGGGTGCGAATGGTCAGGGCTGGACCGAGCTGCTCTGCGACGAGGTACGTCTGTTCTTTACTTCTCCTCAGGTTTAACCTATCCAACTGACCCTTGTTCCATCCATAGCTCCGCTGCTCTTCTCATCAATCATTCATCCCCTCAACCAGCCTTCCCACCCAGGCCATGACGACCACGAACCATTACAGAGACACACTAGAAAAGATCACCTCGAAACTCGAGCAGTCCAAACAGTCCGGCTTCGACTACAGTTTCCTGGTCGATCAGTTCCCTCTCTCCGACGCCATCGCCAACCTCACGTCCCAGGTCGACGCGTTCCTCGCCCTGCCCAAGCCCCATGACGTCCCCCGCGAGACCGTCTGGGTCTTCACCTTCGGCACCTGGGACGTCTGGACCCTCGCCTCGCTGCCGCGCGAGGTAGGCGAAAGAATCCTCGACGCAGCCGTCGAGGCCCTCTTCGCCCAGATTGAGCGCGTCTATCAGGCCTCCCTCGACGACGATTCCGTCGCCTTCTCCGACTTTTGGGCCCACCAGGACACCGCCTCGCCCTTCGCGCAGCTCAATGCCATGGAACAGGGCGGGAACGAGGTCGACCCGCGCGAGATCGAGAACTTCCGCGTCATCGTGCCGGAGCTGTTCGACGTCTCCATGACGCCCGGGTGGCAGGCCCAACGACCCGCGCCACCGCGGCCGCACAACAAGGCCGAGCAGATGACCAACGCCGCGTACCTCACGAACAGGTGGAACTCCGAGGTCAAGAGCTGCATGGAAGAGTGGATGCGCACGCCGGACCCCGAACCCGAGGACGGCGAGGAGGATGACTTCGAATACGTCGCGACGCATGTCCGTCGCTCCCTCAATGAGGATGACGCGCCCCTGGTCGTGCCGTTCCCCCGCCGTGTCGGCGCGCAGGTCGACGCTGCGAGCTTCGTCCGGGAGGCCATCGTCGAGCGGCAGATGCGCGACCAGGGGCTGGCGGACGCGACGGGGCGTGGCAACCGGACGAGTGGCGAGCAGGGTAACGTCTTCTTCGCCGAGACATGGGTTCCGTGCATCTGGGCCAACACGTCCAAGACGGCCGAGGCCGCCGACGAGTATGCTGCGTGCGGCGCGCCGGGCGAATACCTCTTCCACTCACCCTTCACCCTGAGCGAGCTCGCGATTCGGGAGACGGCACGGATCGCGGCCGCCGAGGCGCGACGCACGCTCGCGTTCGTGGACCGCACGGAGGAGGGCGAGGGCGAAGGACGAAAGCAGGGTGAGAAGATAGAGCCGGCGGCGGCGGCGACGTCGAAGAGACGCGTGAGGAGGGGCGAGTTGAGCTGGTTCCAGCGCGTCACTCTCCCGGATCACTCGGTGCGGCTCGTGAACGTCGCGTGCCCGTCGTTGGACGTCTGCTGAGTCTCAAGTTTTCTGCATTTATGATGGGTGTTTGCAATTACGAATCACCAGGCATCCGGCGAATAGGGCTTCATTTCATGGCATCGGCGTTGGCGGGCATCTCGGCATGAGGCATGTGCTATATTATCGGCTCCCAGAACCAACCGGGAGAGCGCATAGGACAGAAACTTGGAGTTTGGATCATCACGGATACCGGGGCAATGTTGCTCCTAAAAAGGCCATAGATTATGACATTTTCGTTGCGTACATATAAACACACAAGGCTTTTACACGTTCTAGTTCTGCCCTCGCGTCTCTTTCATCAGGGCTAATAACGAGGGCTGCGTTCCTTCCGGTGTTCTCCTGCCATGGAGTTCCGAGTCGCAAGTAGTGTCCCTTCTAGGTGGTATGAGGTCCAACATGTGCGGAGCGTCTACACGCCTATGCGTTTGCCCTGGATGCTTAACCAGCGTTGCTAAGACGTTTCTTGTCAATGGCGGAACAATTACGGCAAGCTTATCGGGTGTGTCGAAACCTCGGACTCTGCATCTGCATCTTTAACAGTGAGATCGACGTAGCGTCACTGAGCTACGCGGCACATTCTTCATGCTTCACACCTGGTCAGCTATTGTGGCTCTCTATTCGATAGCCGTCTGACAGCCTACCTCATCCCGATACCTCCCATTGACGAGCCGTATGCTAAATCAACGGTCAAGGTTAGATTCTGTATTCGACACGTCTCGTCTCGCCAGTAGTTGCATCGCAGATGGGGCCTTTGATCTGCACCTCGCATTCATCTCTCAACTCAATCGTTGTTAAGCAGGCCCCTCTGAAGATTGGCCACTACTAGCTTCCCGTGATATGCGATGCATACAGTTCAATGCGCTTCCCTCCCAGGATAGGTAATCGATGCCGGCCCTAGTATTGTCACACAGGTACACAATGCTACGTAAGCATGTTAGGAAAATACAACAACGCTTTTCTTTGCTGATTCCTGGTCTGAGGAATGGTGAGTGATCTCTCGCCACGACATTTCAATGTGGGTGGCACAGCAGAGTATTGCCTAAAGTAGGTCGATTAAGGGCCAAGGCGAGCGGCCTGTCTTCTCTACTCTGCCTGTGTCTGTTGATACGCAGCCTAGTATCAAATGAACCAAAGCGGCGTTTCCAATTTTCCAGTGAACATAGCTGTTCCCCTTTCAAGCAAAGCTGTCGTTGGTAGCACATTGGCAGCCCAGACTCAAGGAGATAGATAACAAAAGCTTAGCCCCCAAGTAGACCGTCAAGATATCCGTCACCAAGCTCTCCCAGGATATCATCACCAACTTGAAGCCGCTGGCATCCTTCAATTTCATCGCACCCTCAGAAGAATGCGCGACTTGTTCCCCAAACATCCAATTCCTCGAAGTCGCTAATATTATATCAGTAAGTTTTAACTTCAAGCATGACGCAATAGCAAGTGTATCTTGATTCTACCGTCAACCTGACCAATTACAGAATACTAGTTCCCGTCGGTATAGCTGTAAACGATTATAAATAAAGATATAAACCTTCCTTTACAGTTCTCACATAATTCTGAATGTTTAATGTCAGATACAATCATTACCATAACCCATGTCTTTAATGTTTATTCGCCATTAGTCACGGCGAACCGTCTAGATCTACTATATCAGATGATACCTGTCTTTTATCAGCATCTCAGCTACTGTATCATGAGTATTAGCAGCATCTAGTAGGATGCTTGATGTTCGGACGCTTATGTCTTGGCAGAATTTTTATTGTCAGGAATTGCCATTATACAGATTGCATTCTTGTGACTGTGAGTAAATGTTTCACAGATGGCAAGCGCGCATGATTTTCGATATGTTAAGGTCATATGCTCTGGATGAACTTAGACAGCTAATTCAAAGCCATCAGAAACTATATCTGGAATGGAGATATGTTCCGTCCTATAAATTCAACTGATAGATGCGCCGTGCTTAATCAGGGTCTTTGAGGTATCACGATGGTTAGTTTCGGTTACACCAGTTACGGGTATTAAAACGTTGAAATCATTAAGGGCGTTGTGCGAGGCCCTTATCTTGAAAACTCTTGGCATATACCTGGAACAATATCGGGAAGCTTAACCAGACAAGTATGTTTGTTTCACCCACAGAACCGAGGAGAGACTGTGCAGTCTTTCTGTTAGGCATATTATGTAATCACGTTGCACCGAATTATATGAGTGGACAGGCCTGTCCCGGATATGCTCTTGACGTTGCAAGCGAATGTTTCCAACTCGGTTAGTAAATCGCCGCCCCTGTCACAATGGCACGGCGAATGGATACTCGGCCATGCAAGATATTAATGTTCGCTGTACGGAACCCACGATGTGCCTGATAAAGGTCAACAAAGTAGACATGCAAATGACAAAGCTTCAGGTTACGTTGATGGCCACAAAGCGATCCTGGCGTGAGGTTTGTGTTTCCCACATTACAGCAGCTGGCCTGAACTTATCTTCCGTTGTTGACGGCGCCAGTTGCTCAAGCACCTGGATCATGCCATGGGGACGGACGGGGTGGTAGACGTGCCTGGGGGGGGTTTTTTTTTTTCTTTAATTTCTATTTTTTTATTGTGCTGCCTTGCATAATGAGACGACTTTTACGGCCGGGACCTCTTGCTAATGGGGTCCGAGTTGGAACGAGTTTGGGTCCACCATGGGATATGTGTGGCGAACTTGAGAGGGTCGAATTGGAAGTATTGCCCAAGTTCCGCAGCCTCTTTGCTTGCCACGACGACAGTGTGTGAAAGATTGCCAATAACACAAGTGATTGAAGTCAAGCCAAGGTTGGCAGAGCCCCATCGGACTGTCCCGTGGTTCCTGGATCGAATCGCAATGCTTGCATAAGACTAGGCTGCCTCCCATGCATCCTGCAGTGAACCAAGGCAACCGGCGTCTGCGCCACTACAGCCGCGTGGTTATCCATCTCGAGAGCCAAGACGATGGACGTAATCACGATGCTGATTGGTTCCCGCCGGGTGCACGGCGGAAATTAAATTAATAAAAAAAATTGTTAATGCGCCTCCCGCGTGCCGGTCAGCCCGAACCCGGCCAGCGAGGCAGTGAAGGAAGAGAAACTCAGGTGGCTTTTTGCCTTGCCGTCGAAGCTGGCTCTTCAAGAAATTCCATGTATGATGCCCAGCCACCCCGCCCAACATCTCCCCTCCGTCTCCCAACCAAGCAGAGCGGCGTCCTCTGAAGAGCTTTAGCCTTCCACGTTTTGATCCGGTGCTGTTAAACCAACCCCCAAACGGGTGCGCATATCGGCGCTCTGTCACCGCTTCTCAATCCCCGCGACCTGACTTCTGCCCCTCCCTCCGATTTGCGCCGCGCCGCTCAAGTCACAATGTCACAACCGGGATCCGACGAGGAAGGGAAGAGGAAGCGGGACAAAGTGGGAGAGTTCCTGTATGCGCGTCATTTGTTTACACTTTAAGCGTCTCGCACCCCTGCCAGCCCTACGATGCTGCTCTCACCCCTTCCCTTCGCCACACCACCATCTCACAACGACGGCACGTCTAGCACAACATCGGCCACATGCTAACTCCGGGAACAGGAAGAAGAATATCACGAAAGGCGAGCTCGCGGTTAAGCATGCCATCGGCCTGGGCGCTAAGCCTAATGTCATCCCCGTGACGCAACCTATCCTCGACGGCCCGCCTCGTGTGGTCGAGGTCGGTTGGCACCCCGTCGGGGGGCTCGCCGGCAAGTGGTTCGCCGAGGAGACCGGCCTGGGCAAGATGATCACGGAGAAGATCAACAAATACCCCGATCCCACGCAGCACTGGGCCGTACTCGTCGGCGACTTCGCGCATCAGTTATGGATGGTGAGTCAATCTGATCTCACGCACTCCCTCTATTTCGCCCTACTTGATAGGTATCTGACAATCAGACTAAAAGGACGAGAATTTCCACGTTATCTACACTAATGAGCGGTATAAGCGCGATGAATGGAGGACATTCACGGTGGGCGAGACGCGCTTCAACGATGATGCAATCCGTCGAGCGGGTGAGTCTCCACTGTCCCTCTTACATCCCCAATGTTTCCAACAGATAACCTCTTTCAAGCTTACGGGCTGCTAATGAGATCCTAGGCGAGTACGTGATCCAAAGCATCAGATCTCGACACCCGGTATACAATCTTATCAGCAACAACTGCCAGACCTACGTCTTGGAGCTCCTAGACGCAGTCAAAGTCGACGGGCAAAAGGATTTCGGCACCACCCTCGCCGTCTATGAGAGACTGTTCAGTTCCGGAAAAGTCATCGATCTCTTCAATGGGGAACAGAGGCCAGAGCAACAACAGCAGCATCTGCTGGAAGCGCCTCCGCTGCAGTATCCCCCGCTCCCACCGTCGCCCGCTTCGCCGCAAGGCGGAGCCGCATCGCCGCAGTACCAATACAGCCTCCCCCCGGCGCCACCGCCGCCGCCGCCGCCGCCGCCGCCTCGCCCATCTAGTGATCCGCTTGCTCACCGCCCGGGTACGGTTTCGCACGCACAAAAAGTCATGAACGACAACACCACACAGCTAGATACACAGGAGGAGGCGAGCAAGCCGAGGGGTTTCAATATGGGGACCAAGCAGATCAAGGAGGCCAAGCGTGGATTCCTTTCACGATTCTCACGGAAGGGATCATCCAATTGAGCGCTGTCGGGCCGCTATTGCGCGCTATGCCGTCAGATTCATCTCTCGATTGTATCGCGGTTCTTGGTTTTTTTTTCTTCTTCTCCCATATACCCTTTTACGACCTTTTTCATGGAATGACAGACGACAAGGGGAACGATGGATAGAGATTCATCCGGGGACGGCGTTTAGAGGGGCTGGTTGGCGTTAGCTAGCCTGGAGCAGTAGTCACCATTGTACATGGTGCATTTTAGGTAATGGCAGAGATCAATATTCTTTGACGCGTGATTCTAGACCATCGCTTTTCGAGTTCGAGACCATAACTGTTGATCATGGAGTTGATCGCTGAGGGAAGTCACACGTCAATGCTCGCGTGAATTTCTTCATCTGCCCAAGTAAACACGTCAATTTCAACATAACTCGCAACAATACACTGCCACCGTTAATAGTCCCTGTAAGACGAAGTGCCGCACCGCGTCGCTTCAATCGAAGGAAATATGATAACTCTCGAAATTTGATCTCCTTACCCATAGAGTGCGAAAGAGTGTCAACTTGGAAGAGTTGGTGGCATAGAAAGCGCGGGCCGAACCATTCTTGGCCATACCATACGCCCACGCCGAGCCAGAAACCATATACCTTGTTACATCGCCGATAAATATGCACGCGGTTCTCAGATCACCCTATCAAGACATGTAGCTTTCTGTTGTGGAGACCTTGATATGACCTCTGTGCACGACGGAACTACAAATAAGCATAGTGCTTGTGTTCAAACAGGTACAAACCTTGCAGGCGCCTGTCAGTTGGTTGTGTAACATACCGGGGACTCCTTGTTTATTATGTTATGAAGCACGGAGGCAAAAGTTCTGTCACTGTTGGCACTCATGAGTTAATTACTGGTTTGGGGCTGCTTGTGCTTGGCTTCAGAGCATTGCTGTGGTTCGCCGATGTCATCACACATGGGCAGCTCGTCAAAACAGACCTGAGTTTCCACGGACTTAACGGGCATACATTCACGGTTTGATGATGACTTTTTGGAACAATTACTGTTCTTCAGCGCGTCTTTGTCCTCTTCTCGATGCAATTCCCAGTTCACGAGCAAGCTAATAGATGTTATATTAGTGTACAACGTAGGTGAAAGGTTAACCAATGCGAGGTGTGTTGAGTACCCATTCGAAACACTGCCTCAAAGCTGTAAAGGAAGCCTTAAAGCACAATTATCTTCATTCCCATCATCCATTAGCCATCCTCCCCTGCTCAAACTCGATGTGAACTGTAGCCATCCTTCACCAACCTTTCAAAGGATTCAAGATGCAGCTTCAAGAGGGGGTTGAAGATCTTCAGTTATGGGCTACTTCATTGGTATATCTCATCCGCTGTGTGAAATTGGCAACTCTAAAGATTTATCTGTTCAATATACATTAGTAAACAGCCTTTTCTATCTTTCGGCGTCGGGGTGGACATTACATCAACTGGACGTGTCACAGTACAGAGTCCGGAATATAATTCATCTACCACCGAGATTCTTAGTAACTTTGAAGGCAAGATGCTTTGGCTGGTATGTTCACCTGCTTGGATGAGGCGCGACATCAAACTAATGTTGTTTAATATAAAGGCCTAAGCGTAATACACACATGATCTGCCGTTGGCCGGGAGTTTGGGTTTTCCGATGGCGAAAGTCCGACTCGAGCTGAAAAAATGCTTTCGTCCGGAATTCCGGCAATGGATGCCTATTGCAAGTTGGCATCCGGGGAAAAGTTACTAATAATGAAACCAACTACCCACGGTAATATGCCCACCGAGCGCTAGGCCAGCATTCAAATCCCACACGATCAGATGGCATGTCATAGGATTAATGCCCTCAATGTGCAAGTTCTGAACAAGGAAGAAGGTCATATTGTAAATCGTCGGTGGTTGGCCACAGACTGCGCCTGTTTGCGTGGCTCTTTAAGTCCCTTGTATTACATTTCGTCCGGTTTATCAAATAGTATAGTGTCTTGTCTAATGGCCACTATTCCATCGAAAGAGCTTTGTGCAGCCTTCTAGCTTATTTAAACTGTTAATCTGATGATTTTAAGCCACCATGTAAGTCGCCCCACCCCCTAGCGCCGCACACCCCCATCCGCCGCACTTTCTTCCCCTCTACACATCATTAATTACAACAATACTCTTATTAATTAAACAGCAACTAAAAATCAAATAATTATTTTTAAAAATACTATAATCTTTGCTATAGCTAAATATACCCCTAAAGACGTTTAGCGCACTTTAGACCTTATTAAAAACAGGATGTCTATTTAAAAGGCCTTAAGAACCTAGTGTATACTAGAGTGCACCCTTTGCTGCTAAATACAAGGTATTAGAACCTACTAAAAAAAGTAAATAAATAACTAATAGTTAAGCCTTAAGTAAAAGGCTTACCTAGTTAATTAGGCACTATTATAAGCTACCTTTAGCCTAGCACTAAAGTACTATTAACTTAAAGAACTAGCCTAGTAAGTACTAGCTGCTAGTAGTAACTATTAACTACTTAGCTAGAACTAGATAACTAGCCTACTTTACTATAACCTTTCCTTAGGTACTCTTAAAGGCAAGGCTATTAAGAATAAGCAAGTAATATCTTTAACTAACTAGGTTATCTAGGACTATTTTACTATATATTAACTCCTATTTATTAGGTAAATTTTTTTCTAGTACTAATAAAATATAGATAAGATAAGCCTTATAGAAGGTAAAAGGGTTAATAGGCTTATACTTAGTTTATCTATAATATATAAGGTATATCTTAAGACACTAGATACTTATTCCTAGATTATAATTATTAAGTGTATTTTAGTAATAAGTAAAAAGCTTTAACTATTAGTTATCTTTAATAGTAAAATAGTCTAAAGGTAGTAGTTTTCTTTTAACCTTAAGAAGTATAAAAGATAAAGGTTCTTATTATTAGATAATAAGTAAATATTTAATATAATAGTACTTAACTAGCTAAAGGAGGTCTTTATCTTATAAATAAAGCTATTATAAAGAGAAAAAGAAATATAGTAGCTCTTAGTAATAAATAAGTATAAAAGTTATATAACTATTAATTTTATATAAGAATATTACTCTTAGAGAATTTATCTTGTTTTTTTACTACTATACTTTAGCTATATTACTTAACCTTTAGATATATTAGTCTTTAGCCCTCTTAAGTTAGCTTATTACAAGAGAGTAAATAATTATATAACTTTAATAAGTAGCCTACTACTTAGTAAAAGGACCTTTCTCCTTTATTACTTATAAGTATAAGAAGAAGCTATTACTAAGTTAAATATATAGGCTAGTTAGTAAGCTATAAAGCTTAACCTTATATTAAAAGAAAAGGTTCTTTATAGTAGTTAACTATAGGTAAATAATATTAAAAAGCTACCTTATACACTTATTATACCTCTATAGAAACTAGGCTACTTATTAACACTATTAAAGTTATAAGATCTTTATATATATAACTTTATAATTACTATAAAAAATAAAGTCTATAGGCCCTTAAGTGTTATAGCTATACTTTATTTAAAAAAGTAAAAAAAGTACTAAATTTAAAAAATATAGATATTACCCTTAAGAAAAAAGAGATATAAGAACTACAAGAGAAACTAGAGGTATATATACTATATACTAAGCAGGTAGTAAGGCTAAACCTAAATAAGGTATTTATTAATATTAAGGTAATATAATAGTTATATAAAGTAGCCTAGTAGAATACTTTTATAGCTACTAAGAATACCTAGGAACAGGAGATTAAGTTTTAATCTTTTTAGCATAAATTTTAGGTAGCAAAGCAGTATTAATTGACATAGGTTGTAGTTTTTGGTTGAAATTGGCAATCTCTTAAAATGCGGCGGATGGGGGTGTGCGGCGCTAGGGGGTGGGGCGACTTACTTCAGACGTCTCATAGAGCCAATTGAATAAACTAAGCACGCAGGTGGAAGTTGGTTTCAGGGATACCCATGAAGCCATGAAACCAGGCTACAGATGTGGGTCATGTGGAAGGACGATTAAGATTTATGACATTTGACGATTACATGTTGGTGCTACTCCGCCAATGTGCACAGTCTTCGCCACAATGATGGCCGCAATACATAATAAATGACCTGAGCAGCAGTGTCCTTTCCTTCGTTGCCTCCCCTGCAGTACATACCAAGCGCGTATTATTTGTTACTCCTCCTTCCTCTCAGTCCAGCTTTGTACTCAAGATGGTTTCCTATAATACCATTCTCCTCAACCTCGTGGCTGTGTCTACGGCGGCCGTCGTAGCTGTTATAAGAGAGAACGCTTCCGGCTCTCTCTTGATCACTCGGGCCGAGGCCTCTGTCTTCATGTGTGAAGACAAGGGCTACAAGGGTCAATGTCGAAAGCAGAGAGTCGAAACTGCATTTTGCTGTACGTCTTCACCCTCCATACTCATTATCGCCCTTTATCATGAGATATAAAACTCTAACTACGCGTTATAGATAACGTGCCCGTCGACATGATCGATCGCATCAGCTCAATTCGCAACAACGATAGGGACGATAACACCTGCACTTGGTACCGGTGAGTCTTTCATCTCCTACTGACACCACTTTCTTCTATCGCGTTGTTTCTGACAAGTCAACTTCTTGGCGTGGGCAGTGAGCTCAACTGCCGTGGTGACTCATACCGCAATCAGGATGACGGTAACCTGGCCGATGGCAACGGACACTTCAATGACTCCATTCGCAGTCTAGAGTGCAGGAGAAAGGATTAGCCGGCTTAAAATATCCTTCTTCGCCCTGAATTACTTATAACAAGACAGTCTGGACAGTCATAGGATGATAGACTTCCCTGTAAATAATGTAGTAATAAGGGAGGTAATCCGAACAACTTTAGTAGTCGTGATGCAGTTATAAGCTTCATCAATTGATTGCACGTAATCACAAGTTGTTAGAGCGCCTACTAAATAACCCAAAAGTGTAGCGTGGAGGCTAAGATTAGTTTGTGTATTCACCGTACACTGCTTACTATGCCATGCATAGTCATTGCAACAGGGAGAAAAGACTCATCTGGCCGCCTCCAAACACTTGGGATATTACCGGAGCCACCTGGCACGCCTTTGATCCCCGGAAATGAGGATATGGGCCGAAGCCGCAGCTTCCACCATTGATTAATGCGACTTTGCCATGGAAGGACGTGAGTGAGCTCTGAGAGTGATAGCCTAAAGTCATTCGATAACCATTACTGGGAAAAGAAGGGAGTCTACAGCTAGTTACGGATCTTACAGTAAGGTATTGGCCAATCGTTTATTTCCTCATCCAAATGCGGCGAATCGCAGCCTTTCATGCACGCTATGAAGACTCAAATATTGATATGTGCATTTATTACTATAGGCGTCATATTTGCATTTGCCATGCCCCTTCTCATAAAGCTATCAGAAGCCTGAAGAGACTGAGCTTCTCGTTGGAGGATACACTGGTTGAACCCCTTGTATCACCATAATTATTGCCACACGAATTGAATACTCAAAGATCATCATCTCATTTCCGCCAAATACCGCTCCAAAATCCCCTAGATGCGTTGCGTGCTGGTCGTACACGCTTAGCCGGTGGTGCAGCCGCCAAGACGAACGCTCTCGGCGTACATCTCATAGGTGTCCGCGTTGGCAGCGGCCTGTGTGGCAGACAGAGCCTGGGCAGCGGAGGGGCCGTACGCGTAGTCGTCGGTGCCGAACAGGTGGGTGATCTCGTGGAGGATGCTGCCCGCCCTGTCGTAGTCGTCACCCGAGCACTGAGGGGCGAGCTCGGGGAAGCCCCAGAAGCCGTTGTTGGGGCACGGGACGATGACGTTGGCAGAGGGGACGGTGTACAGCAGGGCAGAGCCATCGCTGCAGTCGTTGTAGGTGTCGGTGCACGAGATCTTGGGCGACTTGCTCTGGACGTTGGCCACGTCGTTGTAGATGGTCTGCACCTTGGACTTGACGGAGGTGGATTTGAACCTTGAGTGGGAAAGCGAGTCAGCAAACAAGCTCGAGTAAGGGGGCATCGTAAGCCGAGAGTCACTCACCACGTGGTGAAGTAGGCGGTTCCGGCACCGGCGGCGGTGTAAGCCTTGCTGGCCATGGAAATGGCGTCAGACACGGACGTCTTCAAAGAAGACGTTTGCGACGAGGAGCACGAAGAGTACGTGACGGCACGCTTCTGGATGCGAGACAAGAAAGACGGCTCGGCTCTGCGAGAAATGTGCTGCCTAAAAGGGTTGGAGTCAGCACTTGGATAGCAATCACCGCATATAAGAGTACATACTCGGCAACGGTGGCTTGGTCAGGAGTAACCTCGACCTCGCCGGACGTGACATCCTCACACGCGGCCAAATCCTTGAACGAAGAAGGCGTGTCGGGGCCAGTCGCGTAGCGGAAGCCCTGAATAGCGGTGACCTTGGCCTGGTCGACACCGTCGAGTCTGTAACTCTTGGCCGCGTTGACCGGCACGGTGATTGTCTGCCCAGCCTCAATCTTCTGGAAGGCATCGGCCGAGAGGCCAGTGCGCTTATAGTTGACAAACATGCCGTCGAACGGAAGCGCATTGCCCTCTGCTATGTCGTTAGCCGCTATCTCGGGTGCCTCATTTCGGTTGTTTCGCAACAGAAGGCTCTACCCACCTGCATCGGTCACCAAGAGGTCCTTGGTGGCGTGGTCACTGAAGACCGTGTTGCCCTTGAAGACGGAGACGGGCTCACTGCCCGTGTTGGTGACTGCGACATTGACCACATGGTTCTCCGCGTTGGTGATCTCGACGGAGAGAGGGCAAGTGGCCGAGGCAGCACCAGCAAGGAGGGCGATGGGAAGGACTTTGGCAATCATTGTGACCGGTCGACTTGAGTGAAGGAGGCTGACTGAAGAGACAAGTGCAAGAGAAGCCTACACTGAGACTGAGAACTTCTTAGCCATATATGTACTCGGCCTGCTACAACGCATCTCTAAACGTTCGTCGGATGGCAAGGGCAAAGATAAGCAACACCGGAGGAATTCCCATGTCGAGGAGGTGAATAGGCAATAACATATGACACCATAAAGCATTGTCCCACTTATTTAGATCCAAAAAGCTTAGATTCTATAACATCTAGCTTAGATTCCATAACATCTAGCCTTCTTTCGGAAGGAGGTAAAAGGAACTGCAATATAGATATCGTGGGGAAGCGCGGCTCTTTACAACAATAGGCTCGGGGGAGTCGCGCCAAGAAGATGGTCGGACAGTGGGAGTGGGTAACGTAGTATGCATGCTGTGGGCAATTTGCCAAATCATGTAGAGTGGATAACAGGAGGCCATTGGTCACCTCGGCTTGTGGGCAACAGGGAGCTGGTCGGACAGCTGAGAAGTTCGGCAATTGGGCGCAGAAGCCCGCCATTCAACGCTCTCCGCTAAGCAGTTTAGGAAGGCTCTTGGCGAAAGCGGTAGGTGTCATGGTTAAAGACCAGGGGTAGAGGCCCATTGTTACTCAGCTATACCGAGGAATCTGGCGGGATTGTGATGCTATGGTTATATCCGTTATCGGCGGTCTACGTCCTCCGCTCCACTATCCGTACCCTTCTCAATATTTCCCTTCCGGTTGATTAGGGATGCTCCCGAGTGCTTATCAAGAATAAACACACAAAGGTAACGAGTCAAGCATGGGTGCACCTTATCTGGTTCAATTGGCGCGGCTCTTGGGAGCTATCGACATGATACGTGGCGTCAGCGTGTCCTTGCCACTGGACATGCCTATTTGGTAAAAACAAAGCAATATCTACCAACCTATGATGCGGCGTTTCGATTCCTTCAGGCATGTCGGTCTCGGTATGATGCTATCGGAAGTGAGTTCGGCGAAGGAGTCCATGATCTGCGGATTGGAGCCACCACACACGTAAACATGCGAACAACTGGAAGATGGTGGGGCAAGATTTAAACCAAGGAAAGATAACCATACAACACACTACTCTTTATGGTCAGCTGAGGGAGCAGCCGTATGACGGCATAGTTGTGCTTCTGTCACGATGTGACATGATGTGCTAGTTGCTGCCCTAGAATCAAAGGCGTCGCGTTTGCGACAACTTCACGTCGGCGATGTCGCGGCTCGTAAGACATACAGGCTTGAAGATGAGGAATTCACGCATCGCCGTGCCCACACTTGTCCATCAGGAGTCACCATGCGAAATACCAATGTCAACCAAATGGTCCGTCCAAAGGTCGCATTTATGAGAGATGTTTAAGCCCCTTAGACGTGCTCATTGTCTAGAAGTATTTCGCAGATGTTCAATCTAGGTTCGGCACATGCAGAGTGGTTCGGTAGATGTCATATCGCCAAGCGAAGCCAAGAGCAAGCCAAGAGCCTTGGCCGATCGTAGTGCCTTGGCCGATTGGTTATTCCCTACCCTGTTGAATTTGTTTGTGGGTGTACGAGATCACAATCTGTTCTGTATGTTGGATTGCTGGTAGCGTTTAATTTCTGATCTGAGGAAGCGCAACCTCCTTGCGTCAAATATGATTCGCATGATATTATCAAAATTTGACTGACTTTAATCTCAATACACGGTTAGCTACGATGAGCCACTATGACACCGGATATTTCAAAGCGCATCACCAAGGAGGAGTTCATAAAAAGAAAAGGAATATATTCACTCACTGGCATAACATGCTCATGATATGTGTTTCTTGTGGATGCTGTGATAAATATGCTAACTGACGATCTGAAGCTTGTGCTCAAGTTGCGCTTCAAGACGGCTGGCGCAATCACTTTCTCACCATTCACCTGGCACGAAGACGGACGTTTCCAGATACTGAAACCACGGTCAAATCGATTGGAATTCTAGATTACGGTGGTACTCGGAATTATGTACAGCTTGACACCATCGATCGGAATCCTGTCTTCTTCGTTGTGCCGAGGCGAGTGGCTTCGTCTGCTCGACCGTAGTCGTGTGCTCCAGGGACATCGCTGACGCAGTCATCCAAACCAAACTCATCGCGCTCCCGCGATTTGTGGAGGACACGTACCAACAACAAGCTTTGATTTCGGCGCTCTGGCATATTGAACGCGGCCTTCGCAGTCAGGACCTCGTTACGGGAAGCCTCAAGGTATTACTTCGGCCGTCATTGTTCTTTTGTTCTTTACCCGTCCTTTGAATAAAACATAAACCGGAAACCGATGAGTGCTTCGGAAACTCCACAGAATATCAACGATGAAGGGGAATACCAGATCACTTGTGTTCCACTATGAGGTAGAGAAAGAAAAAGAAAAGTCCGGGAATGCAGACACTCTCTCCGAGCCTGGGTACTGCCTTGGGTCTGGGGTCGCGGGGCGAGGACAATGCGATAAATGTCTCTGTACGATTGATTCCCTGGCAACTAGGCAACTTTATCTCATATTTATGTTCAATTAGAGCTTGCTATGGCAATTTGCAGGAGAAAGACCGCATGGCTGTTCTCGACTGAGTCTAGTGACCCTAAAACTCTATAGCCCCGGATCAGCACTTTGGTACTTCAGGGGAGAGAACTACGGCAATCAAATATTATCACCTCATGGATATCAAACCACGCTTTCATTATCATTATTCAGACACAAATAGTACATCCTTCGAGGAAACTCCTTCCTCACAGTGCAAGCTCAGCCAAACCTTCCTCCACGCCCCTCCTCACGACTCTCTTTCTCTCCACCCGTCTCTCTTCTCTCGCCGCCTCAACCGCCCTTTCCAGCTCTGCCCTCCTGTCCTCCCTCTCCCGCCTCTCGTTCTCCCTCCTCTCGTCCTCCCTCCTCCGCCTCTCCGACAGCACCAGCTCCCTCTCGCGCGCCTCCTCCTCCGCCGCCCTACTCTTGTTCTCCGCCCTCCGCGCCCGGATCTCCCTCTGCACCCTCTCCTCCGCCACCGTCGGCTTCCCACTCGCCCGCCGCGCCGCGTCCCGCGCCCGCATCTGCCTCTTCAGCCGCATCCGCGTCTCTCGCGACTGCGGCACCGCCAGAAAGTCCAGCCGCGCCGTCTTCCCCGTCGGCAGCTCCACGTTCCATGTCCTCCGCGCGTCATTCAGCCCTGCCTCCACCCTGCCCGTGTGCAGCTCGATCCGGTACCGGTCCGGCCCGTCCGCGCCGCACCCCAGGAACCGGTTCCGCACGATCGTGTCCAGGTGCACGCAGAAGTTGGTCGTGAAGTCCCGGTATAGCTCCTTGCACCACTCCGCGCCGCCAAAATCCGCCGCGCCGAGGTCCACCGACCGCGCCGCCCGCACGAACACCATCTCCCGCTGGACCGACTCGCACGCCCGGAAGGACCGACGGTTAGGCACGTGCGAGGCCTGGTCGTCCTTGTACTTGCCCATCCATGTCAGCTCGAGCCGCTCGAGCGCCGGGAGCCGCCGGCTCAGCGCCGCAAAGTCCGCGCCGTGACGCCGCATGACCTCGGGCTGAACGGCCAGTGTCCGGAGGCCGCGGCACTGGTTCAGCACACCCCAGAATTGTAGCCAGCGCGGGATTTTGTCGCCTGGCGGGATGCACGCGCCGGAGAAGAGATTCCGCGTCGTCCAGAGGGGATTCTCCTCGCGGTCTGCCGAGGCGACGTAGACGTGCCGCAACAGCGGGCGGAAGGCGGGGCGGAGCTGGGCGCCGACGCAAATGGTGAAGTCGTCCGAGTGGTCGAAGACGAAGGTGTTGGCGGACCAGAAGATGGGCGCGGCCTCGCGGTAGACCTGGCGGCACGCCAGGAGGAGGTTCAGCGTCGTGCGCTTCGCGCAGCGGCACTGCGACAACCGGTCATGTCTATAGATGTATTGGAGCGGAACGGGGTCGACGGTCACGTCGAGGACGACGCAGGCAGCAGGCTCGATGGAGGTGGCCGTATGGTTGTAGCGGAAGTGGCAGTCATCGTCGTGGGTGCGTGAGTGCTTCGGCGGCGCGACGAGGGCGTGATGGTAGATGTGGTTGCGCAGTTCGAGCGGCAGACCGAGAAGGCGTTTACTCGAGGCCGGGTGTTGGTGAGCGGGGAGGGAGATTGTGAGTGTGAGGTTTGTCATTGTTGGTGTTGAAGTCGGCGTTGTCATCGTTGCCGTCTTGAGAATCTGGTGATTGATGCGATGGATGGATGCAGCGTAATAGACAAAAAGCTTAAGGCGAGAATGTCAATCGCGTGTCGCCAGTGCAGAAAGAAGAGTAAAAAAAGGAAACGACTCTGTTAGGCAAAATGGGTGTGATAAGGCGGCCAGAGTAAAGATTTCCAGGCAACCAATAAGGCCCATCACAGGTTTTTTATGGGTGTGTGTATGCTAGTTTGGACTACCGTTGTAAGCCTCGTTGGAGCGGTTGGGGGAGGTAGGCAGTCACCGAGTGAGTCATTTGACCGGATTGGCCGAAAAGGCAGAATCCGTTTGGAATGGACTTGTCAGCCTTGAAAAGGCACGGATAGTCACCTCACTGCAGTTCTGGGCATCTTGGTTGAGGCGTGTTACTGAGGCTGTGCTCCCGATGGCACCGCCGAAAACAACTTGCTGCGGATGGAGGACGGAGTACTGGGACGATAGGCTGGGGGAGTGCAGCATCTGATGTCAGCCTGCATGCCCCCGTCCAGCATGTGAAGGCTGTACACTCCTCCGGCAGAGAGAATAAGGTGTGTCAAATGGATGAATTGAGTTAGGCTCGCTACGTAATCCCATGTTGATATGTGATTTCGGGGACGAAGTCGTGACAGGTCGTGTTAATCCGTTAATCCAATATGGATAAAGCCATTGTTGTGTGCTGCCCCTACGCCGAAACTCCCTTCATGAAAAAATGTCGTGTCTGATTCATCTTCACAAATGCCATGCCAATTCTAACCTTGAGCAACGGTGTCGCGGATGATCTTGTTGCAGTCGGCCGGGTTCTCAAACACAAACCAGTCGTCGCGAGGGATGTGCTTGAACGCTTTCTCGAAGCGCTCCGGCTCGTTCTTGGCCGAGATACCAATGGCCGCGATGTCAACAACTTTACGGATCAGAATAAGCTTGACCCATCCCTTGAACTCGCGGTAGCTGGAAAGTTGTCAGCGGGCGGAAAGGATAACTGGCACCCGTTCAAGGCCACTTACATGTCCCCGTAGGCCTCGGGGTCGGACTGCGTCGAGTCGCCGATAAGGATGAACTTGCGCTTCGGCAGCCAGCCATGCACCTTTCTCATGCGCTCCACCTTGTACTCCTCCGTGGCCATGGTCAGGGCCGACAGCAGGCCGGCAACCGTCTTCCAGCTCGAGTCGCGGAGGATGATGGTCCCCGGGGGGTAATACTTGTCACGGAACTCGCGCAGGAACGGGTACAAGTTGTAGGGGGAGGCCGAGAGGTAGAACCACGGCGACTCCTGCGGCAAGAGCGCCTTGATGTTCCTGTACAGCTCCGGCATGCCCTCGATTGGTGTCGGCTCGTTGACGAACGTCTCGCGGAGAATTCCCACAGGGTCGCTCGTCTGCGTCAGCTTAATCGTATCGTCGATATCTACCGAGACCACTCGGTTAGCTGCGAACGGTTCGCTGAAACTCATTCAACCCCACGTACCTGAGATGATGGCCCAGCCATCTGGCGCAGCGAAGAAGGTCTTCATCTCCAGCAGCCCCGTCGCGCCGCGCGGCACAGCGGCGCTCGACGTCACCATCGTGCCAGAAGGCTGCTCGCTAATCTTGAGCGTGTCGGTGCTGATTCCATTAGTTGCCGAGGGACCTAGCTTGAGCTCCTTCTTCTGGTTCACGACGCGGATTATTCGAGAGGGCTGTACGTCCCAAAGGAATGGCAGCAGCCTCTCCTCGATCGTCTTCAGCTCTTCGGCGTCGTCGGCGAGACCCAGCTTCTGGGCGATGCCCTGCACAATATCGACAATGGCGCACTTTGGTTCCTTCTCGAAGACGGCGGCGACAAACTCGGCCTGCCAGCTGCCTATGCGCGAGGGCCTGAAGGCCGTATTGTCCAGGAGCCAAACAATGTCGTCGTCGGTGACGGGTCTTCCCCAAGGGTTGTAGCTGCCGAGGTGCGAGAGCAGGCCGCTGGCTGTCATGAAGGCCGACTGCAGAGTCGGGACCCGGGGGTTGGGGAGCTGGGCCTCGAACTCGTCGAAGCCACGTTCTTTGCGCGTTCGTTTCTGCATCTCGTCGGCGTATGCGGCGGCAGTCTTGCTATCGTCTTGCCCAGCCATGTTTGCGGTTTGCGCGTGGCCTCGAGGTATTTATGCGGCTGTCTCGTCCTTGGGTGTGGCTATTGCCTCCCAACAAAGGCCTGGCGGTCACTTGGATTGATTTTATGGGCAACGTGACTTGGGTCCGGTGTTACTGGCGTGCCTTGGCAGCGAGTTGGTTGGTAGGCTGACAGCTTGAGGCTGAAAGACAGATGTCTCTGAGAGAACTCGTCCGTTTTGTCGACTGGGGAATCTTGCGGGAGGGACGATATATCCCGTAGGCTGCAACGGGCGGGGAATAAGTTGCGATGGTAGGTAGTGTGTGTCGGCTGAAGGAGGGGAGGGTGTCTGTGTCGGGGAAAGGACCTGAATGAGCTATGCGACGAGCGAGTCAACGACTCTAGTAGGTAGGCGGACACATACAGACACGGCTTCAGCTTCCCAGGTCTAGCTCCCAGCGACAACGCCAAAACAAGGCCATCGATGCGATATGTAAGAGCTAGCCGGGTCTCGTTGCCTCATCTGTGTGTGGTGGGAGGATGGCGTCAGTGACATGGTTTAGAGCGGCGTGCAGCGATCTGTGATAGGGCGGTTCAATCGGATGCTCGCTGGCTAATGGCAAACCAAGTCTCATAGAGTCTTGGCTAGAAATGCATCCGCCCTAGAATCCTGTCCCTTGTGACCGCCGTACCACAAGTGACCAGGCAATGACGATGGACACATCTGTTGCAGGCGAAGGTGTGTCGGAGACGTAGGAGAGGTGGAGGAGGCATGGGATAATGCGGGCGGGAGGGGGGCAGAGGCAGGGGAATGGGTACGTATCATCTTAGTGTCAGTGGAGCAGGTAGGGTGGGACACGGGAGGCATCCCGTGCCCAAAAACGCCCCGATCAGCCACCTTTGATCACGTGATCTGGTTCTGTGACAATGGCAGCAGTCGTTGTGTCTAACCGCTATTATCTAAAAAGGAGAAGAAAAAGAAAGATGAACCCCAAGATTGAATAAACCTAATAATACAGTAGCAAGTACAGAGGGAATCACCAAAAAACAAAACAAATGTCCCTGGCAAGGCTCGAACTTGCGACCTTTGGATATCCCTGGCTAACTTCCCGAGTCATATATAACGATAATATGAGACCAACGCTCTACCAGCTGAGCCACAAAGACCTAATTATCTGGTGTGGCTTGACCCACAGGAAAGCACACCATACACTCCATCCATGGCAATGACAGTGACAACAATGCTGTACTATCACCATCTGTTAGCATTCCCCTGTTAGCAATTTGGCAGTTTTTATTCGATCTAGATGTTCTCAGCTTGAAGTTTCATTAAGTTTCAGTGAAAATGGATACTATAGTGTGGCTTGTATACAGCTTGATATACATACGTCTGAGGTACACCTAGCCACCTTAGTCGGCCTGTATATCTACAACTCTCCGATTCACTTTGTAGATACCTGTGTAAACCTGGCTTATCATATTTAACCTGTTAAATATCACAGTGAGTGACAGTCTCCTTTTTACTGTCTTGAATTCTAGAGCCGATTCACTTATAAACGGTGAACCCCACCCTCCTGCTGCTTCTAGTAATTACGTGTGGTTGACGGTTGATCTGAAGGGTTTCGTAGGAAATTCAGTGCGAAACCTTCATCGCTGAAGTATATCCATCCCGTTATACTTATTTATAATATAGCGCTCATATCCGGGGAGACACTGCCCAGGGAGATAAGAGATGTGGCCTTTTATCTCATTGTGCTATTTGAACTCTCTGGCTTACTGCATCAGTCCTACTGTGACAACGGTGCACGTTGTGACCTGGATGTCTCTAGCTGGTCCAAGCAGAAACTACTTTTTCGGCCCTCGAGCTGTCTTTCAAAATGGCTCTCTTCCTATCCTCGCTTCTGGGCACGAAATCCACCTCAAACGGTGCGGTTCCCAGTATCAGTCCATCGTGAAACCCAGTCTCGATGCTGGTATCCAAGTTTCCCTTGGCCACGACGTCAAACTCCCACATGAGCTTCGCTATAGTAACCATGATCTGGTTCTCCGCATAGTCGGAACCGGGACACATGCGCCGGCCAGCACCAAAGCCGTACGTCGGGTGGCGCTTCTGCGCCTCGGCGGCATCCCGCATCGAAGGCTTGACGCCCCACTCGTTTTCCAAGTATCGCTCGGGTCTAAACTCTTCGGGCTTGTCGTACCATTCGTCGTCCATGTGGATGGACCAAGCGTTTAGTATGAAGCTAGTACCTTTGGGAAAATTGAAGCCGCAGTAGGTATCATCTCGAGCAAGCACCCTCGGGAACCCTAAAGGGGTGACTGGGCGCCAGCGCATCACCTACGAGTGTCAATATCCATCTCCCATGCCATAGAAAATCAACGCAATATTGCATACCTCCGTCAGGCAAGCGCTCAAATACTTCGCTTTATGGAGACCATCTGGCCCTGGTACTTCACTTTGCCAAATAGAATCAACCTCGGCTTGTACTCGCTTCTGCGCTTCGGGGTGTGCTCCCATGACCAGAACCATGATCCCGACTGTAGAAAAGACGGTATCGACGGCACCATCTACCGCTGTAGAACACAATGAGGCAATCTCATTGTCTCGGAATTTCAAGTCCTTGAACTCTTCCCCGAGAAGCTGCGCCATGAGAGACATGTTCTCGGTACTCTTCGTCCCCTCCATGATTTTGGCATGCTGGATCTTAGCACCATCAAGCATGTGATACATGATTATCATCGTGGCCGAGTGAAGAGAGGCTGCCTCTCGCTTCCAGCTTGCAAGAAAAGTGGGAATATACTTCATGGCGGGGAAGATGTCAACAGGAGGTGCTCGGGCGGGCGTGAGGAACTTGACCCAGGTTTCCTGCACCTCGAAGTAGTACTCAGTTGAGCCTACTCCACTCTCAGCTACGCCCTGTCCACCGATGATTGAACGGGGCGTGGCCAGGGCCCAGCCACGCAGGTGACTCTGGAAGTTCTCTGGGTCGTTAAGGATATCCCTCATCAGAAGCGCCGCCTGCGCTGTCTGCACCGTGAGGATGCGTCGCAGATCAACGGGCCTGAACAAATGGCGCAAACCAGTCCGCATCTTCTTGATTCTGTGGTCATTGTTCATGAACAGGAGGCTCTCCGGGTTGATGAGCTGTGCGGTGATGTACGGCTGCTGGCGGTCCGAGTACAGGGCGCCGCGTTTCTCGAAAAGCTCCCGTACGTGTTCCGCGCTTGAAATAACAACGTAGTTGTTCGCCCCGACCTTGAAGCCCATTATATTGCCGTACGTCTTTTCCCACTCCCGAAACCCCAGGAAGGCCTTCTCTGTCGGAAGCTGTAGCGCGTTGCCCATGATCATGACGGGCGGGGGACCTGGTGGGAAGTCTCTTGGCCTTCTAGTGGAGAGAACCCAAGCCATAAGGAAGTAAACGGCGGCTACTGCTGCCGCGGCGCCGGCAGCGACAGCCGGCAGGCCTGGATGCCACATCATTGAAACGAGCTGCATTGCATCTATGGATTTGGTAACAGCGTAATAGATTCAGAAATGACAAAACACAAACGTCTGGCAATTTTCAAAATCTTCTTTTTGATGGTTAAACGGGTCATAGTCCCTTGTCTATTCTCAAGACTTATGTATTCCTCACAAGCCGAGTGTTTCTCAATCCGCGGTCACCCACCTCTAACGCAGCTTACAGTAAGACTAGTGTATCACTGCAGCTCTTTACAGAGGCGGTTGAATCAGATTGGTCAGCCTTGATTTCCCCGCCAATCCCAGAGATTAACAGGCCTTGTGTGACTTTGCAACGCAGCAGATTGATAGGTGCATTTGCTGTCAGCAGAACATATGACTCTGCTAGGGTGCTCATTGGACGTACATCTTGTCTGCATTGGGGCTCCGACTGCGGCACATCGAGTTACTCGTGTAGGTCGTTCTAACCAACCGTGTAGCCTGTTAGCAGACCAGATTATGCATCTGAGAACTGCCAAGAATAGCTATTGAATTCCGCAGTCTGCCTAAACAAAAGCAGGAATGCCTGATGCTTGGCTTTGCTGCCACGCCCACCCAATATGACGCCGAGTTGGTCAAAATCCGTCCCGTTACACAAAACGAAGGGACCCAATAGAAACATGGTATGAGTTTAGACACAATATTGACAAGATATGATATCCAATTGCATTTGGTAAATGGTGTGCTCCAGTATCTACATCGTCGTGGAGAGATGTCAAAAGACATATGGTGTCTGGGAAGAATGCTTCGCAGGAGCTAGAGGGGAAAATGAGAAGGCTGTGAGGGTGAATACCGGTTTCCGAAACCGCTAATTGGGCTGAGTAATAAACATATCTCCCACAGATAAAAGGGCATCATGTTGGCCTCCAAATCATTGCGAATTGAACGTTATGACTGCCATGTCCGCTGTTGTCCTCCTTTCGAAGAGTAGCAGATTTAATGTTTGACATCCAGCCAGTTGTAAACTCATTTTCTCTTATTATTGCTCCATCGGGAAGTCCAGTCTCTGTCAAATATTCCGGAGGAATTTACATTAAAGATAGTAGGTTATGACCAAACCACGACGTAGCTCATATGGGTGCACCAGTATTACGGAATTGCCACGCCTGTTTAATAGATAAGTGTATCCAAGAACCCTACCGCAGTTCTCTTCTGCTTGTTGCGTGTCGCAAAGTGACCGTATCACTACGTAGATGTAACAGCCCCTGGGCAAGGACCGAGGCCCTTGTCAATAGGCAGTCATGGTCAAAGATAAGCGAGAGCGGGTTCTGTTAGGACACTTCGAAAGCAACAGCGAAGCAGACATACTTGTTTTCGATGTGCTTTCAGCAGCTGATTTCCCAGCCGAGCTTACCAACGTTCGCCTGAAGGCACGCGGATTGTTTGAGAGGTGAGTAATAAACCCGGGACAACAAAGGTTGAGCAATTTAATTAGAGCATCCTACTAAATATATCGGGTGATGATTCATGTTAACCATAGCAAGCAATATTATACATCTAGGAGGGTTTTGGATATATTAGATAAGATAGCTAGCTAATGTCCGCACCACTCTACTTCCATGACTTCAACATCAAGTTTAGTGCAGCTATTCCGGCACAGTTTCTCAAGCAACACAATGAGACGATGGTGAATAGGTCTTGACGCGTCGATCTTTGTACTTTTCGTAGCCCATATCCGCCGCATATTGCAACGTAATATGTGGCATGCTGCGCATTCAAACATATCCCCCGATCGTGCGGACATCTGAAATTACAAATCGATCTGTTTAATCTCAATGAAATAATTAACATCACTTGGCTACCGCCAATCGCTCGCGTAGAATAAACTCGCCAACGGGTCGAATATGGCGGCCTATGTTAAGCATGACGTGATATCTCTATATGAAATCAAGTTGTTTCACGGCCATGAGCATAGGCTGCATAGCTATAGAATCAGGGCCGATATCTGGTGATCCCTCACAATATAACTATATTCTTAGTCTAATCCTTGTGTCTATATCGTACTTCCGCTGTCATCTCCAATTTATCCGACGTTAAACACCAATAGTACCCACCATCGAGGGCTGTGATCCCTGCGATTGCCGTCAAAGCTGCAGGTCACGACACCACACGGTCTGTATGGCCGAGGTACTAATAATATCGTACGTTTATAAGACGTATAGGCATGGTAATATACCCTCCAAACACGCACCCGACGACCGTACCACGACTTGTGCTGGTTCGAAACGTCCCAGAGCATATCACGTCACTCTGCAAGGAGGTGGCCACCCTAGTTTCCCTTCTTTTGCACGAACTGTCTAGCTGCATAAGAAGGAGCTTCTCGGGTCCTTCAAGAGGATGCTCGCCGGCAAGCCGCAAGTCGGCAGCGGGTTCTGAAACGCGAGCCTCATGGATCCTCGCTCAACATATGACCGGTGGAGTCTTTCTTCCCCAGCCGACAGCAACGGCTCTTCTCTTCCCTTCCCGGTTGACACAGTGCCATGTGGTATTCTCTTCCTGCATGACGTGGGGAGGTGAGGGGACGGTGGGCTGCGGCTAAGGGTCGCCCGGGCTCTTTTTTCCACCGTCCGATCTTCGGCAAGTTGCGTGAATTCAAGCTCTCCCGGGCAAAGCGACAAGGCTTGCGTAAAGATTTGCTGTTGACAATGTTCTTTTTTAGGGGTATAGCCGTTAGAGGGATTGAACTCTTCGGTCATGTATCGATGGGCCTGCCGGAGGTTGCATGGCGTTGACGTAAGCTTGCTGAATCGCTGAGATAAGATTTAAACGTGATTTGCCGACAGAGAGCAAATTGGCAGGATAGAAAACACAGTCTCTTCCTGCGCTGGTCGCCCAAACATAGGAAACAAAGTTGCGAGATCACAGCAGCTCGGCACCACGTGATGTGATGGCTCACAATATTGACTTACCGACATACCCTTCTTTGTGGCCAGGCGAGGAACGCACAGGGTTGATCTCGAAATTCAACGTTGGATATGGCAGTGGAGTTGGGCGTCATGGCCCTGGAGTATTGCAACAGCATCGGTCTTGTTACCGAAGCACTGTTCTCAGCTTCTTTTAATTGAATCTCATTCCAGACTGCTTTACCCCACCTACCGGTACTTCTGGCTCTAAATCCACCCCCCGTCGCTTCTATGCATCCACCCTTGCCAGGGCCACGATACCGGCTCTTAACGCGACAGGCACATCGGCCAGGGACCATACAGGAGCCGTCGGAGGACAAGGGTTGCGTGATCCTGAGTCCCAGACTGGCTGGAGGAGAGGTCAGTGCGGGAAGGATGAAGTGAACAGCGGGCGAGGCGCGTAATAGGCTACCTACCCATACACCATCTTTTCTCCCTTGAAGCAAGACTCGTCGCGCTAACTACATTGACAGATGATGCTTACATGAATTTGCAAGATAGGAGCCCTCGAGCGTGGCCGTACGCTTCCCCCACACGTCAAGCAACACAAGGGGTTACGAGGAGCTGAGTATGCCAGCAGACTTGGATATACTTTCTTTTATCTCGCTGATGGCACCTTTCCGCCCTGCCGCCTTTCAGTATGAGACTGTCGCTTATTGAACGCCCTGCGTTTCCTTCAAAACGATGGGGGCAGGCATACAAGCAGGTCAAAACCAATGGGTCATTGTCAGAATGCCAGCCATCGTTGAATCTTGTAACCCTTACACGCAGTCCTCCCTCCTAGAAGAGACTGCAGTCCTCCAAAGTCCACCAGTAGGTACTAGGTAGGACAGCTCGCTTCGTTGGACGCTTCCGGGGGAATGACTGCATCATCAGATGGGGGATCACACGGATCGGGGCGTCGATGGCAAGAAGACGAAATGAAAGACAGCTCTTACACTTTTCTATTTGTATTGACTGAGATATGCCCATATGAACTGGCTTCAGGTGAGTAAGTGACCGAACCCGGCAGTTGATAGACCTGCCGGGTGGAGAACGGTTGGCCATGCTCCGGCGCCGCGTCCGCCCTGTCCCGGCACCAAGTAGTTAGGTCATCGTTATTATTCAGCCAAAGGTTGAACGGGCTCGAAGGTGCCAACTGGGTTCTGCAACACACCTACGGGGTGTTCCACAAGCTGCAACATGCTCAAAGAGGGGAAAGTTAATCTCAGCCCAACTTTTTTTCTCGCTCGACTTTTCCGAGACTTCAGACGCACACAGGCCATGGGCCTCAAGACCGTCCCCGCAACCCAACGGGCCGCATCCCGGAAGCATCCCTTCTTGCCGCACTGCTCCACGTTTTCTAGACGCTCGCGAGACAATATGCACCTAAACAGTCCCAAGCAGTCACTTGTTTGTTCGGGACTACGACCAAGGAGTTGCCTGCTGCCTGCTGTAGTTCTTACGGCCACGTCCCGTGTACCTCCTGCCACACTCGTGACTATGCCGTCAGGCAACTTGAAGGCAAAAAAAGAAAGGGAAAAAAAAGAAAGTATTAAGCCCGCTGACTGTGGCTTGGGAAAGCAGACAAGTAGGCTTCTGGTCCAACGGTGCGGTGGTATGCAGGAGCTTTGATCCCGTCGAGCTGTCTCAAAAGGATGCCCTCCTTTTCTTTACGCAATCCCGAAAGCTGTGGTTCAACGATCCCCCTCCCCTACTGGTCCACATCTCGTTAAATGCATGCGCCCTTCCCCTGTCTTTGCATATGTACTGCACGCCTCAGGTCAGCGTGAGAATCTTTTCTGCCACCTGGTCCTGGCAGTTTCTTGGTCCTTCATTCCGGCTCGTCGATTGTCGCTGTCCCATGGCCCAAGACCATCCCGCATTTTCCATTGATCACGATGATGATGATGGCTCAATACTAGCATGCCTGAGCAGCCCCCCGCACTCAGTTCCCTCAAAGCTGTCAGTCATTATATTCGAGAGGGAATCTTGTCGGTCTCCCTTGAGAAGACTCGTTCCCTAGCACCGAAGCGCATGGCTCTGAGTCTAACGTGTATGTTCTTGCGCAAGTAGCCCTAGCATGGGACAGGCATGTCATCATCCCCCCCAGCACTCAGGGTCCAAAAGTGGTGGGGGCAACAGAAGCCGCCTAGTAGTAAAAGCTGTTGAGCGCCCGTAACGTTCATCATGCTTCAGCATATGCCTGTGGATTCCCGTTTCACGACCTCCCAGCACGGGTTGCCACTGTATCCGATCCAAGACGGTGGTTCACTTGATAGAGGACTGACTCAAGAAGTAAGAACCCCCTGCAGGCGTTCCTCTCCCAGACATGGGAACCCCACATGGGACTTAGGTTGGACGGTATGCCAGTCCAGACCACGTGTATTCTGCTTACGTTGGTCCGACATTCATGTGAGCCTAAATGCCTAAATATCACTTGAGCCTAAATGATCAATTTTCTGGAGGGAATTTGGATGGATCTTGACAAAAATTACAGGGTTATCCTCACCGAGAGACGAGACTCGTCTTTGCGCAGCTGTGTCACGCTATATGCACAGCGCCGCGTCACCTCAAACCACATACCAAGGCTTTGCTCCTCCGCGAAGAGGATAATATTGAACGGAAACATTTATGGATCTTGATAATCCTGGCTGTCCACCATCATGCCAGCGTTGTGTCAATGTAAGCGGCATCGGCCTTTCGCTTAGATCAGCATCACATAACCAGAAGAATCCCCCGCAGTCAACTCTATCAGGACGGCACATGAGATCCTGTAGATCGTCCAATGACATCTGGTGCCTCATAGGGTTTACAGGGACGTACGGTAATCAATTTCTCAGCATGAAGAGCCCAACAATGGCAGCGATAAGCCTCTGGTTCCCATCTGCGACCATCACGAAGTATAACCACCACGTGCAGACGGCGAGCTTGCAAACCAAAGTCTCTCGAAATTACAAAATTAATGTCGCCAAGCACACGAAGCTCGTTCAATTTCCCTCTGCCAATTCTCATGGAAATGCTCAAGACGCATCCTGAGACCCGGAGCTCACGCCTCCCGACTAGAGCCCGTCTGGCCGTCACTGATCATCGTCGGAGGAGTCGTGCATCGATATTCCCAAACGGGCACCGAGTCAGGGCTCTCCCCCTCGTCTTGCCCAATCCCTCCTTCCATCCCCAAGCCTTGCGATTGAAAGCCCCAGGCGTTGCTTCGCCTTCGAGTTACTGCGCAGTGCTGTGTATTACAGGAGATAATTTGCCTCTTTCTGGTCATCGCGGCTACAGCACATGAACCTGGTGACGTCAGGGGAGTCGCAAGTAGACTAGAGACGACGGGCGTTCCTTGGTAGTTAGTCAAGGTCTCCAAAGTCTGCGCCGCGGCGCACGCGAGCACCCAGTCGCGACGAACCCAACTAAGACGACGCCGACGCTCGAAATGAGTCAGGAACGAACATGTGGTGGCGTGCTTCGCCTAGCTTCAAACACCTGTGGAGGACAATGGTTCTTCGCTGTGGCTTTCTTCGTTCTTGTGGCAATGCCCCTTTTCGACCCCAGTCTCGATCCATGCGTCCAGACTATATCCGCTCAAAATGGCGGTACCCTAAATACGGAGTTTCAGGGCTACATGCACGACCCGAATTGGGCATGCGAACACTCTACACTTCCCTCAACCCAACTGTAGCGGCTATTCCATAAACCTGGGTTAGAGATGGTTTCGTTTGACGTGATGAGAACCAACACGGCCGGGTATGCTTGGGATCTCGCCGCCGAAGATGGGCATTAAAGGGGCGGCGACAATGACAACTTCAATAGCAAGGCACTCCCTTAGTTTCTCGCGAACGGGCGCCGAGGCCCGGGATTCCGGACCAAAGGTACTACTCCGTACATATCCAGGCGGCCCCTCTTAAGGTCGCACAGGTGCATAATGATAGTGACACAGTCAGAAAAAAACATAGTACTCTACCCAATACTCAACACCAAAGTCAAAGTCTACATGTAGATAGAAGCACAATACCATGGACTATAGTAACCGAACCTCCCTATCAGCCAAGGCTACAGAGCTTTCAGAGATGGCTCTCCCAGTTGCTACACTTAGTGCCTCTTGCTGTGACTGTCTTGCCATCTGTTCTTCAACCAAGACACCCACCATAAGGAAGTTCAACCATCATAAGAATCTTCTGGACAATCACAGTCCCAACAGTGCTCATGGCCCTTTGCAAAATGACTTAACAGAGCCCCAAATACTCATTCAACACATCCAAGGGGCATTATCTCCATTGGCTGAAAAGATTCACCGCCCCGGTCACTTATACAAGTAAATAGTATATCGCACTCTTTATATTGTCAATGGCCCGGGGTTCGGGATTGAGGTGGGGGAAGGCCCTTCTCTCTTCCGGTTGTCCGGTCACCTTAATCACAGCGCCAATCGCTGGGCAGGGGCCCCCTCGGAATTCGAGGAGGAAGACGGCCAACGTCCGGTGCCGCCCATAAGGATACTCTGCCAAGTTGTCGCAGCCGGCCCGAGATTTTTTCTTCTCCATGAGCCAGCGGGTACCTGCCGGGTTTTGTCACCAAATCCAGGTTGGAGAAAACAGGCTTTGTATGAGCCTTCGCCTCGGGCAGACTCGGATGGGGTTCCTTTTCATCGTGTCACAACCCTAAACACGCCATCTGAAGTTGCAAGATATCCACCCTTCTTTCCGAGAAAGGAGGGGGGGGGGGAAAGCAAGGGCGTTCGTTCGTAGTTGAGATGATTTAGCAACGCCCCTTGTTGTTGGATACCTCGGCACGCAGGAAAGCAGGCCGGCGGCATAAGAGAGAAACATAATCAACAAGCAGCCGCTGGTCCTACGTATCGCATTGAACGGACGATGAACCACGTGAGATCATCCTACCTTCCTGTATGGGGTCCAGCCGCACAAGTACGATAGACTATGCAGGGAGATCCCTTTCGCGAGCGAATCTCAGGGCCAAAGACCCTCCACGTGGATTCCGCAACCAAGATCGACCTGCCAAAAGAGGCCAAAAGAGGAACAAGGAAGGGAAACGAGAGAAATGATTGGGTTGCCAATAGGCTCACTCGGCATTGACTCATGCTGACGTCTCTACGTCGTGCTTAGACTACAGGATTGCCCAATTAGGCTCGCGGCCCCTGCTGGTTCGCCTATCTGATATCATTCCCAAATCCGTCCCCGCCTGTTACGACCCACACGTGAACAAGAAACACAAGAGTCATGAGCATGTTCTTCCTCTCTACGTTGTCAGTGGTTTACCTTGAGTGCGAACTTCGCCCCTCTCCCGCGGCGGACTCGTGGGCTCTGCCCCATTCCACGAAAGAAAGCACTGCGTTTTGCCCCGCACCCTCCTGAGCCGGCCGAGAGCTCGTAGCCGAAGCGTTACATTGCCAATTCGATACGACTAGGGTCGGACATCTAGATACCCAATTTGGAGCACATGGCCGCAGTAGCGAGAGAGCCCAGCGGTCTGTGCTATGCAAGGAGGAGATAAAGTCAGCTAAACTACTACGTAGAACGCGTTCCACCGATCACAAGGGGGAAACCCCATCACGTTGTCACCATGGCCGCCCCTTGCCTCCTTCTTAATCAAAAGACGTTGCTATCTTGGCATCCTGATCTCGCCTGGGCGATTCAGCCCAAACGTTATTGCCCAGGGTCGATCCACTGGAGCAGACTCATCCTCGTCATGGTGAAAGAGGGGGAGAGAGGGAGCTCAACCCAAGAAGCTCGTCTCCATTGTTTGCCCTTAAATACTTACACCCTCGCC